AGTTGTTTCTGTGGTATTTTAACCGTTATACTTTTGGTCCTGGCCAGAACAGAGGAATTGCAGAGAAGAGCATATTTCAAGCAATAAATTTAAACATTTTGAAACTTGAGGAAGAAAAGGTGAATTAAGATGAAGCCAAAGATTCAGGTTAGATCTTGTTTAATCCAAACCAGGATATCCATCCCTGACAAAAATGTTGACCACGGCTATTTTTTTGGCACCGTGTCTGTTCTATCCCCACCCTGCTTTCTTGGAAGTCACTGTGCTCTGGCTCTTCAATTAGAGACGGATAATTGATGAATTGCAGACTGGAAAAAGCTTATCACACTGCATTATTTGTTCCACCACCGGAGCCCTATCACCACTGTGAAATCTATTTCTGCAAGTTTGAAAGAAACTTGGATAAACCACCTGGTGATCCTGTCTGGGACTGTTGACAGTCTGATCCCAGCAGTTTGTCATGGACTCTTGAAAATAACATTGACAGAGTGAAGGGGTCTGTGTCTCCAGTGCATATTTTGGAGTGAGGGTTTGTGCAAATGAGCTGACAGAGGCTATGCTGTGTTTTGGAGGATCACTCAGACTGCAGCTTTGCTTATAGACAGGAGTTCAGGCCTGAATTTACACCCAGTGCTGATTCTTTTGTTCAGGAGATCCCTTAGTTTAGGTGTATAGAGAGTGGGAAAGATGTTTTCTAGGCTGTAAAAAGTGCAGGGATGAAGTAGCAGTGGCAGTCCAGGGCTGCTGGAGCACTTCACCGCAGGGTACATCCCTGGACAAACCACAGGGCCCAAAGGGGTGGTGGAAGGCAAGGGAGAGCCAGGCCCTCAGCATCAAGCAAGGCAAGAGGATTTCCTGATTGATGGAGAAAGCAAAGTTAGGAAGGATCCAGACACTTTTGGAGACTCATCTGCTTGGGGTGAAGGCAGAGGCCGTGTAGTGGAGCTGGATCTGCCCCAATCTCCCCCACTGACAGCTAGCAATGGCTTCTTATAACCAGTGAGGAAAACAGTTACAAAACACACCTCACTGCCACATACTTCTGGGAACTGTTATTACTAGACTAACTGGACTGTGTGTAGTTACTAAACTACACACACCTTGAGTGTCATGAAACAGACTGCTCAAAGCACTCACTGTATCACTGCCATCTGCAGACCTCAGTGGCAGTGGGCTACAGAAAAAAATGTTTAACCATGGAGAAGATGTTGCACAGACTGTGACTGTAAGCACTTTTTGGGTGCACAACACTTGGAAAGCCCCATGAATCTGCCTTTCCCGTGATGACCCATCTCTGGAGGCTGCCTTGGGGAGGAGGGATAGTGGGTTTTGCCCAAATCCCCATTACTGACCAAAACTCATGCAGAAGCAGGAAGATCACAGAAGCCTTCGATGAAAATACTTCAGTTCTTCCTGTGGGTTTGCCATGGTCAAACAGAGGTGGGAAAAGGTTTCAAAGCCATGATGAGGTCTGAGGGTTCTGTCTGTGGCTATTGCAGCAGCAAGCCAAAGAGCAGCATAATGCTGAACATTTTGCATTGGCAGTGGAGAGAGAAGGCTTTGTCCCTGCATTGCTGCAAGAGTGGTGGAAGTGCCAGCCAGATCGAAGGATCAGGCAGCCCAAGAAAAGCAGGGCTGAGACTATACCCAGGAAGTAAAAGCCCAGAGAGGTATAGCGGGCTAGGAATTTGGCAGTGGTTGGCGCACCATGGTGCTGGGTGGACTTAATCCCCTCAGCTGTGGTCTGGCTTTCTCAGTGTCTCTCAGTGGAGATTGTTGTGATATAGCAGGTGCAGATTACCCCTGTGTCTGGTATGGAGGAGTTATCACTGCAAATGAGATTCTTTCTAAGTGAAGGAACTGTAAATGTTTAATTATGGATACAAGCCTGCCCTGAGCAACAGCAGGCTTTTTTCAAAAATTATTTTTTAATTTTAATAATTTTGTTTTGTTGCCTCTTGAAACAGTGCCCTACAGTTTTATATAATAACATCACTAATAACCCACCTACCTAATGTCAATATGAATAACACAGTAATAAGAGTCCCCCTTCTCTACAGAGCCGTTTTTGTTTGCAGAGAAGATGGGAAGCAGCTATCACCCAGCAGCTACCAGATTTTAGCTGATATCTCATTACCTGACAAAAACAGATCCATGTGCTTCATTTCATCTTAAACGGTTGATTACCAGATAAAGGCATATCCTGCTGCCAGAGACCAACAGGGGAAGGGTAATTACAGCTGTGCTTGAGCTCAGCTGGCAAAGGCTGGAAGGGTGATGCTTGGTGTGCAAACACACAGCGAAGAGGTAGGGAGGGGGTCAGATTTTATTCTGTCTGTCAGCGCTCCTGCAACACACACAGTCCCTGCAACTAAAAGCAAAACCAAACCTTTTATTTCAGTACTTTTCTCATCTCCAGATCAGTAGGACCTGTTCTTCTCAGCATGAAGCATTTTCAGTGTTTTATCCCATTACAAAGTTAATTCAAAGCACTGCTATTCTGATGTCCTATTATTTTATATTCAGTTCACCCATTTGGATAAGTATATTTGACCATTTGGAGATCAGAAATGGAGAATCAGAATCAGTTCCTTCATCATTTTTACTTCCTAGCCCAAAATTTCTGTTTGTGGATGATGATTTTGTGGGCCAGCTATTCCTTGCTGAAGGCAGAGAGGAGAATGATGGGCAGCAGATTTCTGCAGATGGGATTCTATTCAAAATACTGGAAATAAAAGAGGAAAGTCTAAACTCTACTATTAATTTGGACCAAAAAATGTGTGCAGCATCAAACCACCAGAGCAGTGATGGGTAGGAACCAGGTGGACTCTATTAGAAAGGGAGGAAGGGAATCTTTCTTCTTTCTAAAAGCTGCCAGGAAACATGCTTGTTTCAGCTTTTGCATGAAATGATAGATGGGGGCTTTGAAGCCCAAATGTATTTGGTTTTATTCCTCCTCCCTCAGGGACATGGGTGCTGTAGATGTTCATTACTCACATTGGAAACATTTGCCACAGGAAGCTCCTGGAACAGAGTCTGGAAAGCCATGAAAGCCCTAACGGCAGCTGAGAACATCAGTGCTGTCCCAGCACTTGCTGAATCAAATTATTAAGTGCCAAGATAAATTAATGTTTGTCTCTGAGTCATTCCAAATTTTATAGAGTCCAGGGTTTTCAAACTCCCTTCCTACCAAGAAAATCCTCTCTACTTGAAAAAGAAACCCCTTTTTAGTGGCAGCAGTTTCCAAAATCTGGAACTGTGTTTGCAGAAGCTTTGCCTCACTCTCCCCAAATTCCTTTGCATCTCTCCTTGCCCAGTGAAATAACTGGAATATTTGCCTTTTTTTAAAATCAGGATTTTCAGTAGTCATAAAGCATAGGTTAACAAACCTCTTTTTCAAAGCTATTTATTTAATATTTATACACTGAAGCAAGGCTCAAGAGCTAATCTATGAAGTGTTATTCAATAATCCTTAACACTTGCCTCGAGAATCCAAGATTTCACTGAAATTTAATTATGATTCCTGCCATTAGAGCTTCAAAATAAGGGAGATAAATACAAAAAAAGCATTAAGCAAGGAGACACCAATGTCTTTTGGAGTGCACCATTTCCCCCTCAAAATTAAGCCTGGGTGTTATTTGTGGATCATCAGCTTCAGAGGATGTGTGATCATTACCTTCTGGACGGATGAAACCTTCATCACCATCCCAACAGGACCCTGGTGCTCCCAGTTCCCTCACATCCCATCCTTGGATATGCAACCTCAGCCTTGTGCTCTGAAAACACTGACTGTAGCATCCTGCAGCACAACCCTCACATTTCATCAGGCAACTGAATAGGAAGGGAAAAAAAAATGTTTAAATAAAAAAGTGGGATAATTTAGGGCTACACAGCACCCCAGAGGTGACAGAGGAGCCCCAACCAACACTAAGCAGGGTGGTCGGTCTTGAACAACTTGAGTAGGAGCCAGTCCATCACACTGCAGGGCCAGAGATCATTCCCTGGGACTGATGCCTATGGTAATGTTGTAGCCATGTACTGGTGAAGTGTTTCTCACAAGCCAGGGAGCTACTTGCTCTTGGGAAGGTTGGGTGTGCATGTAGACATGTATGCATTTGCAGAACTGCATTCTGCAGTTGTGGCTTTCTAGAGGATACCAGTGGGTGGTTCAACAAATATAATAAGGATATTATACATATATAATTTGATTCTTTTAGTCTGAAATAAGCCCCTGGTAAATTTATATTTACTTGGCAGCAAAGATATAAAACTTGGTTTGGCAGTTGCATTTAGGAAAACACTGCGAACTCAAGGGAAAAAATATCACCTGGCTGAGTAGATTGAACTAATTTTGAGAAATGGGGCTCTGTGAATCTGAATTCAATCCAGTTTTTCAGTTACTTACCCAGTCTCCTTCCACCACTTGCCATTTGACAGAAATTAAATATTTTTCTTTTAGTGAATGAAAAGCATAGTCAGAAACAGCTATTGGGTCAAGATCATATGCAAAAGCTCCTCTTGTGCTTTTGTTTCCTAATTGCTCTTGGAAGGATTTTTCGGACTGGGCTGACGCAGTTTTGTGTGTGAATTTCCTGGCAAATAAGGAAGGTGACTGTGTCCAAAAGACATTTAAGAGTGTGAATTCACAGCCTTTCCATGTCTAATCAAGGAGCGTAAACCATTAGCCACATGTTCTCCATTTCCATTACATTTTTTCACACTTAAACAAAAACATGCCAAGAAAAGGTGCTACATTTTTTAATGCCCCCAAATAGGAACCACGGGAGTCCGTTAAATGCTGTGGTCATTTCCAGCATACAAATCAATTTTCCTTGTGGTGGTGAAGTGGTGAATAATGCCTGGTTTGTTTAAAGGAGCATGACTGATTTTGGATGAAGGAACCTGTCACTTTGGCATTTTTAGTTTTATTTATTGCACGCAACCGTATAAAACCTGGTACTAGTCTCAGTGCCAGGCTTACTAGTGGAAAAGCTGAAAGGACCACATAACTCCTGGTGCAGCAAAGAGGTTCTCCTTCTGTAAGGCATTTGCTGGACTCCTGAAAATTATTTTTAATAACATGGCAGAGAAGGATTTCATCAGTTGGCATCTACTGGCTTTATTTTTTCTTCCATTTTGCCTGTGTCAAGATGAATACATGGAGGTGAGCAGAAGATCTTATAAACCAGTGGCCAAAGTATTGCAAAGTCACCACCAGACTGGCCATAAAGGTTCCAGAAGCAGGGAAATATTGAAACAGCGGAGTCAACTTATAGAGTGGACTGTTGATAATAGCACTTCTACAGACCAAAAAGTCCTGAGACCAGAGGTAGATGATGTAGAACTGACTACCTCAGATAGAGTCCAGGTACTCTGAATTAATCTTCTAAAGATATCTTTAAAGCTAATGAGATTTTTTTTTTTCTAAGTTTATTAGTGATATATTTATGAAATTATTTTTATTAAAGCTGTATATTGGTCTGTATCCTGCTGGGTTGCTTTATACAATCTTTTAATGAGCTGGTAGAACCAGCAGTGGTTGGGGACACTGGTTTCAACATAGACAGCAGCCCTTTGTTTTGCTGAAACTGTGATCCTGTGCAATTCTATATTCTGATATATAGCCTCTTAATTATTTCAAGGTATAACTTACTTAATATATTAAAGTTTTATAGTCTGTTAAATTATTTGGATGTGAAGGAAAATTACAGAATTTACAGAGGTATTTGGAAAGATTCAATTAGCAGAAAATAACATACTATATAAATTATACTTTTTGAGTTTGAGACAAACATGATGAAATTCTGAATGTTCAGAAATTTTATTCTAAGGAATAGCTTGAAAACAGTTTCTAAAGTAATGAGTAGATTTAATAATATATATCAACTTGACAGTTTCAGAGAAAAAAAAAGATTCAGAATGAAACAATCTGTAGTATCTGTGTTTAAAACTGGAAATCTTTTTATTACTTCTATATGGCATTTTAGATATTAGTCATTAGCTCACAGCAAAGGGAAAATGGCACAATTTGATTATACATAAAATATTGTAGTCCAAATTTAAAAAGAAAAGTCTGAAGGGCAGAAGATTAAGCTTTTTCTAGCACTAGGCAAAACAAAATTCCACTCAAATTAAGCTTTTGTTAATTTTTTTTTAAACAAGGACATGAGTGTTTTGTTCCTATTGCTGATACAAATGTTTAATTCCTGTATAGCTCACCTTTTATAATTTGTTTTTTAAAATGCTTTCTGATCAAACTGTGATATTTTGAATTTTGAATTCAAAAATCACAGACATGCAGACAAGTGTTGAATAGTAACCTACTTCATGATAAGCAGAGAAGACATTTGATTTTAATTCTGTCCTAGGCTTGAAGAAGTGAAACACATCCAAGTATGGGAATGTGTTTAATACACCACTATATTCCCTGTATTCAAATTGTATCGTGTTTTCCATATCATCTTTCTTGGGGAGGAGTTTTATTTTCTCAATGCACTTATCAAAATAGATATTTAACTGTAGGTATGTTAAATTGCACTTGCAGGATAAACAGTGTAAATCACCAAGTGTATAGTCCAATGAGCCAGCTAGTGTGTGCGTACATCTTTACTGCAGAGAGAATTGTGCAGCTGCATACTACAGACCATGTATTATTGGTACTTAAATAAGATTCCCCTTCCATGCAACATAATTTCATGTCATGCAGGATTTAATATAAAATCACAATTTTTTTAGGGGTTTAACTCTCCCACATAAAGTTTCACTGTGTTTGGGGTGCATGTGTCTCTCATCAGAGAGTTTAATGCAATGTGTTTGGAGTTGTCTGCTGGGGGAAGAGGCTCTGACATTAAAACTGAGCCCACCAAGTCCGAGTACAGCTGATGGCAGTCATTTACCTGCCAGACCCTCTCTAAGAAACAATCTTTGCTGGGGAAATGATGCAATTTTTGGCTTACTGAAATGAAATGGAGCACTAGCAGATGCATGACAGGGATAATCCATCACAGAGTGGCTGATGCAATAGGTATTTTCCATCTTCACACCCCAGGGATTTCCAGGCAGAGGAGAAGCAAAGGTGGCACAGACATGTTTTAACTCATGTCAAACTTCTTTCTTCCCCTTGAACAATCTGAAAGCTGTTTTACCCCCAAGTCTCTACTTTCTTGGTTGTCTTCACTCTGGCTGGAGAATTTCACCCTCTTGCTAAAGTGTTTTAACAGTCCCATTCCTGTTGTGAAATACAGACAATAGCATTTGTCTTTGCTGCACTGGGTAAAAGGCCAGTTTCCACACTGCTGGTAACCTATGTAAAATATAATTTTGTATATAATTATAAATAATAAAATAGAATTATAAACTGTGCATTTCTCAAGCACAAGAACTGCTAGTGACTCGGGAGAACCAAGCCAGACACATTCTTCCTTTTAAGGTTTCTCTTTGAAAACCTTCAGGTATACCTCAACCTGCTGGTGTTTTACCCTGAATTTTGGAAATTTTAGGTTGTTTAATTCTTTGCTAGAGAAGATGCACCCACATTCACATGGTAATTTGCATTCAGGAGTCAAGAATGGTGGATGTACATTACTTGTCTTCTGCATTCTCTTAGACAATATAACAGAAACCCATAAAATTAATCAGGAACTGAAAAAGGGCCAGATCTCCAATTATGATTCCTTCACAGCTTTAACTTAGGGGAATTTTACAGACCGTCTGTTGCCTTGAACTGCCTTCTACATACTAAATCATAGGAAATTCAGCAAACAGCCTCAGAAATATTCCAGTTGTCTATCTGTTACGAGGATATCAATGTGGCAGATGCATTACATGAGCTCCTAAATCATATTCATGTTCTGAGAGTGATGCCAAAGATCCATTGTGCAATAAAATTTATGTGCAAATGGCTGCATAGGACACCTTTGGCAAGTAGGTTGTAATTAATCTCTTTGTCCCATTTAAGCGTAATTTTACTTTAGGAACTGGTTTTTCCTTTAAATGTAGTCTTCATCAAGTTCTTTGTTTTTACAGATTAATAGAGTATCCTGAATATTAATTGTTCTGGCAGCTGACTATGAACATTTTTTTTCCTCCTAGTCAAAGGATCAGTAAAGATAATAGGTCAATAATACTTTATGACTTGCATAAGTAGTTATTTTGAACTCAGTGGGAACTGTTCTCATACAACCAGGCTAGCAGGACTTGCCTCATTTCACATGTAATAACGTGGTGAGCTTTTCGAGAGGTAATGCCAAATAGCATTTGGTTATGACCAGCACTAGTATCTATTTCATAACATAGCTGGTTAGCTAATAATGTTGTTCAGGATTTCAGTGCATTGGGTAAAAAAACAGATCATACCTGCACAGAGAGAGTCTCAAATGCAGTCAAGTTTTCTGGATTCATGCCTTCCCTTACCTACAACCCACAGTTCTAAGTCTCTGGAACTCTCTAGGCTGATATGACTTATTTTCTCTGGGCAGGTGTGTATACAGTTGCTTTCTCATTTGACATGAATATGAGGCAGTATCAAAAAAGACCTGGAGATTTTAATCTCAGTGCAACACTCAACATTAGCATTTCAGGTGGTGCAAAATGCTTGTGCAATTCCAGTCCTCTTGTATTTGGCTTCCCTTCAAGGACTGATAATGGGCTGAAAGCAGGGCTACTTCTCTCATATTAGGAAAGCTTTAAACAATGTGTTTGGTGATTATCAGTTATGTTTTTCCTAACAACTGGGAGAGAAAAAACAGCAATAAAGGTACAAACAGGTTATCCAGTAACAGACAGTCCAATAGGCAGAACTCGTGAAGTATAAACCTTATTCAGAATGAAGGTAAAAATCATAGTATTGACAAAAATTCCATACATATGAAGCCCTTCTGCCCACTGGCAAGTCTTAATATTTTCAGAACTTTGAATATGAAGCATATTTGTTGAACTCTCAGGTCAGCCTTTATTCCCATTGTAACTTTGTCAGTGGTTCCAGGTGGAGAGGGCACATGTTTATCCCATTGGAGGAGTGGCAGTATTTTGGTGGCATGAAAGGGGTTTCCGGTATCCATAAACATAAGTTCCCAAGCCTCCTGAAATTAATGAATTCTGGGAGTGTGCTTGGTATTGTTCAAAACATGGGCAGAAGGCTTCAGGGTTTCAGACAAGCCAGCTGACAACCTTGGGGGCAGGAACACAGCAAATATCTATGTTCATTTGGTAGCTTCCATCACACCAGAGGCTTGTTTGCTGTCATTAAACCAATAGGTCTGCATTAGGCAAGGAATTTGTGGATATAAAGATTAAAAGAAATAGAAAGGAAGACAAGTAGTAAAATGATTAGAGAAAAGTAGTAGTTGAATTGGTGTAACTATCACCCTCCAGAATTCAAGAACTGCAGATCTGCACCTCAGGATAACAGCAAAGAATTGTAGGAAAAAGAATCAAAGAGAGAGAAATGAGAAGGAGTTAGAGAAATTAAATAAAACCCCGGACCTCTGCCTCAGCTGAGCCATTGGAAGATTTGTGACCATTAAATCACCGCAAGAGCCTAGTTACAAAATCCAGCCAGGATTGAACAAGACTCCATTAGTATAAATACAATAATATGGGAAAGAAAAGCACTGAAACAAAACTATCATCACACTATTATTACAGTAGCTGAGCTGTAGTTATTTATTAATTTATTTATACTGCTATATTAGTTTCATCATATAAACAGGCTTTCATAGTTACACACCCACAACTACAAATAATCAAATGCCCCTAACACCAGGTATTGTGGTCAGTTCAAAATAAGTTCTCCCAACTTCAGTGGTGAGTAAATATGCAAGCCTGGGGCCATGAACAGAACTGTGCTGCACAGACATTTTTTAACATCTCCTTTGGGTGGTCCAACACAGTTTTCTTTAAGTTTAGTGGAGAACAGTTCATTGCTGAAGGTCAAATGAAGACTTGTGTCCTACCACTTGTACACAGACTTGTTTGTCAACAAAGGTCAGCTGAAATGCGGGCTCAGTGAAAAGCAGTATAGGAACTTAACTGAAATATTAATCTAATTTTCATTACTTGGTATTACTCTATTTTCAAAACCCTCATTATTTTACAGGACAAGTTGGGGTTTTTTAATATGTATATAGCTCTTAGAACACTTGAAGAGCTATCCCCTTAAATCTTTCAAAAATAACATCTTCAGGGACAACCCAAGTATGGGCGATTTCAGCCCAGATATGAAGTGTTTTGAAAACTTACCAAATATATAACCAGAGAATATATAATGAAGACCCTGTAGATGACATGCATATGATTGATACCATCCATGAATGAGCTACTTAAAGTGTATTTTTCTTCACTTAGCCCCCACAAACTGGACCGCAGAATCCAGACTGTAGTTCCTGCTGCCGTGGTGACTTTGGAGTTCGACTCTACCAAGGGCCCCCAGGACCTCCTGGACCCCCTGGGATGCCAGGTAAAGATGACCTTTTGTTCATTTTTTGATCAGTCTAATTACAGGCTATAGATTACAGGCTATTCTATGAGTATCAGTGAATGGTCCAAAAATCAGCACTTCAGGACAGATTTAGGAACAAGTTTTTCTATAATTTCTGGGCAGAGATTTTCAATTACACTCTAAAATCTTTTCCAGTGAAAACCGATTTGTTATTAAAATTCAGCTTTTATGAATTCATATTGAAAGTAATCTTATTACATTTATAGGGCAAATCAGTCTCTCTGCCTAAACCAGCATGAAGCCTCCACTGAAGTTGAAAGAACTTGTTCCCTGGAGTTGATTATTGTGATCACCTTTGAATATCCAGCTATGCTATTGTATACTGTATTTAGAGGCTTTTTTTCATCTAGCATACTGCTAGCCAATATTTTAGAGAGACATAAATGCTTATATTCTCCCATAGAACTTCTTCTTTTCTTTCTTTCTTCTTGTCTTCCATAATAAACCGTACCTTTTTTTTTTTTTTTTCCCCATTAAAAATGCATACAGAATAACAGGATACAGAAGAAAAGGCAATACTTTGATCTGGTAATTGGCATGGAAAACAAGAGCCTAGAGAAGGGAAAAAAAAAGTAGTTAGTTGCATGTTAGTGTAAACTGTTACTTCAGCTACCTCCAGGGATTTGAAAATCACCATTCCTAAAGCAGATGTGTAATGTAAATGAACATGTCATTAACTGACAGATATGTCTCATCTTCAAAAGCTTACGTCTTCTGTTATCACAATAAAAATGCAATTTCATAATCCTTTTGTCTCACAAATGTACTGACAGTAACAGATATGACAGACAACACAAAAAAAAAATTATGTAGTGATTTTTGGTAGAAACAGTTTACAGTAACAATTAAATCTGACTGCTATGAAGTTAAATTTGAGTGAACAAAGTGTTTCAAGAACTAGCTTCAGTTGGCAAAATACTGAAAGAAATTGTTACTTTGACATATTTTGGGTATTAGGCAAAATAATGTCATAGGCATATTTGCTATTAGCATGCTGTGAGCTATTCATGCATCAACCCTTTATAAAAATACCACTGACCATTACAAAAGTACGAGAAATCTAATGATGAGGCCTCTTGTGCAGAAATACTGCATTACATATGGATAAATTGTTGGCTTCTTAGAAGCAGAACATGATTTTGTATTAGACCCACACTTTCAAGGCAGCAGTGGACATACTGGGACACAGCCCAGTCCCAGCTTTGCCCTTTCCTCATGCATTTATCTCTGTCACACATTCTTGTCACCATGGGATGCCACAACTGTATGGCTGACAGCAACCTTCTGCATCCTGGAATTTCTCTACCTTCTTCATCTGCTGCATTTCATAACACTGTGCCTGCAAGGGGAACAACGACAGCTGTTTTTCCCTTGATTGAATCAAATGCCACTTGCAAACTTCTGTTCTGAACTGGTATATAATTAGTTCTGGCTTTACATGAAGGATCATTCTTATTTTTAAGAGTTATTGGTTTTTCTATCAAAACACGAATTTGCTTAACTTCTTTCATCATTTAACTACTTTGTCTGAAGTAAATTCTTTTCTCAGTACAAAAACTCTGAAGAATCACTTAATCATTAATTTTGATCTCAGACACCACCATTCTTTTGTACATGTAAATTTGTAACCAGAGTGACTAATCAGAGAACAAGCAGAGTGGCAAAGAATCTAATTTTAATTCAGATAGAATTAGAACAATGATGACACTAGTTAATTCCCTGAGTAATTACTTGAAAGGTTAGGCTTTTGCTTCAGCTATGCATAATAATTCTAGCCAACTTTAAAATTTTGTCAGTCACATAGATGTTTGCTCAGTCATTTCCTCAGTAAACATCAGGAAGTATAAAGATGCAGGAACATGTTTTTATGACCCATTTTACAAGAAGCCATCTCAGAAAAGCTTCATTATAAAAATGCCTTTGTTTAAATATAGGAGTATGCAATCAATCAACCCGTTCAGGCTAACCAATACCCTGAGAATGCACACTCTCCCATTTTTGGCACAGATGGGTCATTTAGATAGTTTAAGGCTACAGCCATTCTTCATTTGTATACACATGCTTTAAAGATAGCAAAATGTTAGCAAAATGATAGCTGAGTTCTTGCCCTTGCAGATTTCCCCAATAACACAGTGTGTTGACACATCCACAGTTTATACAGCAACACCAAGATAGCACGAGGATTAATTCTTAAACATCAACCTGTATTATTCTGGAAACTTGCTCATCAAAACCTTCACCTTCAGCTTAACCACACAGCTGTTTCTTATCCATCACAGCTCAGAAGTCCATGTGTTGCAAACTGGTGGAAGAGGACCCCACCACAGCTATCTGTTAAAATATACTACATAAAATTATTCAAGTTAAACAGAAAGTTCTGTTTCCTTTAAGGAAATCATGGAAACAATGGAAATAATGGAGCAACTGGCCAGGAAGGAGCCAAAGGTGAGAAAGGAGACAAAGGAGATATGGGGCCGAGGGGAGAGCGTGGCCATCATGGACCCAAAGGCGAGAAGGGCTACCCTGGGATTCCCCCAGAGCTACAGGTACAAAATCTCTGGCTTGTGTTGGCTGCAGCAGTTCTCAGGTTATGGTTTTATTCTCTGAAAAATAGCACCTAACTACTGTAAGGTAGTTAAGAAAAAAATCTCCCTTTAAGTTAATACAGCGAGCGACATATGTAGCCCTTGTCATGACTGACAAATGTGCTCTGCCAGATCTTCCTGGACAAGAAAGTCATTAGGGCTTAGTCTTCCTTTAGAGTAAGAATCCAGCTGAGAAATGGGCAGGAAGAAACATATATGGTTCCCTTTTTAGGGCAGAAAGCCAGTATCTGAGTCATTAAAGGAGAATAGCGGGGACTATCATTTTTCTATCAAGCTATACACATAACTGCTCTTCCTATGGCAGTAGGAGTAAGGAGTCTCTCAGGCCCGTCCTTCTCAGGTCTGTCAGGCTTTGTGAGATTCTCAGAAGCATATGTATCCAACTCTTCAAAGTATCAAGTCAAAACCTCTGAATGCAGTCAGAAGTCCTTTGGTTTTGAAAAATACACCTCAGTAGCTATCTTTTTGTATATCTATATACCTTAAATACATTGAGAAACATATAAATTCTGCCCATGAATGAACTACCCAAAAGACAGATAAGCAGTAAAACATGGGTTCAAGATTGAGCTGATAAGCTCTGCTAGGGGATGGCAGATATTTTTGGGGCACAACGCTGTGTTGGCATAGTCACATAGCTTTTGGATTAGAGCTACTTTATGCACCAGGAATCTGGAAGATGGCAGAAAGCTAATGTATATATGTATATACCTGCACACAGTGGACATGTGGTGTAGTCCTGTTCTTAAGGCAACTGAAAGTAAATGGGACTTGGATAACTAAGACCCTTGATTGTTGGTTGCAAAGGGGACTTAAAAGAGTTGTCCACACTGTATACTTCAGCAGTACCCGAGCAGTTCATCTGCAATAGCCTGACTGGATTATCTCTATGACATAGCACAGCTAAGGTGCTAAAATCAAGATTTAGATGCATGGCAGACCTTTGAGATGTATCCCTCCTGGTCTGCAGCTGAAGTCAGATTCAGCTCCAGAGACTACATGTGAGGGAAGCATCTAAACTCCTATGTAAAAGCACAACTCAGCTTAATCTGACAGTCACTGCTGGTTTTGGGCAAATGGGACTTCAAACACCACAGAGTATACAGGCTTACAGAAACTGTAAGGGAGTTTACATCCTCACTCACACATACCCACTTTAATGGAAGTGTCTTAGTCTTGATCTGATTCCCACCCCCCAAACCAAATTCACCACAGAAGGGACAAAATTGGATGTAGCAAACACACAGAGGAAAATCCCTACTTCCAAATACTCTGACTATGGGGAAAACTGAAGTTCTGATCTATTTACAGAGCTACACCTTTTAAGTGAAAGATACTGTTTTCCAACAACAGTCATTCATATATGTTTTATATCCTCATTAAAACCATGCAAATTAACAGCAAAATCAACAGTACAACCAATGTATGCAATGTGAGAAGATGGTTTTGGCTTTCTCAGCATTGTGTATGCTTGAATTTTTCACCCTAGGTTGCATGAAAATGTGACAACTGCAGAGAATAACATTTTCAATGAAAAAAGTTTCCAAAATTACTGAACTTTTGTAACAGCACAGAATTATTTTAGTATTCTTAAAGAATTAACTGGAATTAACATTATAGCTGAATATCTTAAAAACATATTTGTTACAATTACATTCAACATAAACCCTTCTGCAATTTTAAAATGAGCTATCAGCACTTTTTTTCTTACATAAACATAATGGTAGTAATTTAATTAAAAACCGAATAATGAAAGAGGGTGAATAACAAAAGCTCATACTGCAATACCTATTTCCAAGTAAAATTCCATCACTGTTTTTAACAGATGTGTTTAAAAATACTTTACACAGTATAGCATATAATTTCTTGTTAATATCATGGTTAAGAATTTTAAAGTGGGGGTAGTTAGAGGAGAAAACACTTTTTAATACAATACTGGTTTAAGTACAGGATTATTTTGAAAGACTTGGTGTGTCCATGTTAATCTGCTACATCAAAATGAGACCTAGAGAGAAAGGACGTATTTTTCAACTCTTCTGATCAATCCAAGAAAAGTAGCTTGGGGTCAAAGAGAATATGAAATGGAATCTAGACAAAAAGCAATAAATTCTATCAAGCTGCCACTGCAGCTGCTTTCTTTTAACATATGATGAACTTTGATGTGATCCTGGCTGAGAAGCAAGAAGTTAACAATTTGCCATCATAGAAAATGCATTCATGCAGGGATAAGGCAAATCAGTCCAAGCTTTCAGCTCACATCTGGAGCTCCTCAAATTTCTGAGCAGATGGTTAATGATTTCCATTGTTGGATCCAGACTTACATTGATTTTGCCTGTTTTGGTTTTGTTCTCATCTGGATCTGAAATCAAAAGAACTTAGGGATATATTTATTTTTTTTAAAAAAAAGAGACCAGTATAACTGGAATCTCATGAAAAATGTCAGTTTTTGTGAGGGGCTGTAACAACTGTAATTGAACACTTCTCATCTAAGAAGTTAAGATGTAGAGATAAAATGCCAACTCACTATGTGACCTTCTGGCATCCAGGTGCCTGTACCCTGTTTACTGACAGTCAGATGGAGGAGTCACAGGCTCATAGAAGAGATAAATCCCTTCCCTGTCCATGAAAGTTGACAGTTTTGTTCCCTGGTATCTTGATGAAGGTAATTTGTATTGTCCAGTGTGGAAGATTTTGCACTGCTTTCTATGAAACATTTTCCACAGCCAATACATCTCACTGCAAGAAGCGTAACATGAAGTTGAAGCACAGTTTTCACTTTCTTAGTGTCCTTGTTTGGTCTCCACCATGCTCATTGTCATGACTGAGGGTATAGGGCAACTGGTAAGAGAGAAAAAGCAAGAATGTTGAGTCCCAGCAACTACATTTCTAGCGGACCTCTAATAAAAATGCCTAACGTATCTCTGAGAGTAGCTAACAAGAAACACTAATGTTTATGAAATTTACTGAGCGTTATTTATTTCACAAATTCAGTTAAAAGCAATATCCAGTCTAAGTGCTTTGGGGAATACATAAAAACTAATTAAATCACTTTTGTCCGAAACACCACCCATTTCAATACCAGTTTTCTGTTGCATCATTCTAGAGAGACTTAAAAGTAAATAAAATCCCAAATGCAGGTCCTGACCTGCAAACACTTGCCCATACACTTACTTTTACAGTCATGAATAGTCCAATTGAATGTAATAAACCTAGTCCTCTTCCCGTTTCATTCAATGGGAGTTTTGTTACTGGAGTTTAATGGCTTTGGAGCAGGCCCTAGAAGAACATCTCTGTCAGGAAAATAAACAGACTGCAAATACAGGAAAAAATTCTGTAGCTGATTCCTCTACATATGTGCATTTCATGAATGACTGCCTGAATAGGAACTGTATTTTTGCAGGTCGCATTCATGGCTTCCATGGCTACTCACTTCAGCAACCAGAACAGTGGGATCATCTTCAGTAGTGTCGAAACCAATGTTGGGAATTTTTTTGATGTCATGACCGGGAGATTTGGAGCTCCAGTGAATGGTGAGTGTTTGAAAAATAAAATAATGCAATTCTTGGGCTATAGGAAGAAGTGTGGTCAATAATGATGGGAAACTAGTTAACTGCCTTTGCACAAGGCACTGATGAGACTCCCTCTGCATAGCTCTTGCTAACTACTTTCAGGAAAAATTAAATTGGAAACTGAGTGAGCCAAGAGAGGGCTTGCCAGCCAGTGAGACTAGTGCTGGCACAAAGGCAGGAGGAAGAGGCATGGCCAGAGCTGGGAAAGGAGCAGGACTGTCTGCTTTGAGACCTTTTGCCCTTCAGTCACTGTGATGAGATAACCATGGCCTTGATGTTGCAGCAGCAGCTTCACAGCTGCCTCCTGTCACTCTCTTCATCCTCATCTTCCCTTAACATCCATTCAGATGTGTGCCTGGATATGAAGCATTACAGTCTTTCCTGACTTATTTTTCTGCTGCACTGATCCCTCAGCTGATGCAGCTGTGGGGCAGGAAGAACAATAGGAGATGGGAGAGGCAGGGCCACAACCAAAAACATGTCTAAGCAAAGCCTGAAACCACCTTCCTTCATTTGGTCTTTCTCACCCTGCTATTCATGTACTCACTGCTATGGGAAATTATATTAGATTAAATGAAGGTCAGGCCCTCCAAGCTTGCTGTAGCACATCTTACAGACAGTTAGGGGTGCATGTCCTTGGAGCTGCCTCCTTTTGAGGCTAATGTATATGTGGATGTCAATAAACTTTGGCCCACAATGATTTAATGACTTTGATGCAAACTCCAAGCTCCTATTGCAGGGTCAATGCTACAGACTTACTGTTCAGGAAACAGGAGCTTGTCTTCCCATCTAGAGGAGTCTGCTAGAGTCATGACACATATAACTGTTGCACTGACAACATTGTTGGCACCTTTCAGACAGAGAAAGAGCTAAAAAGGATAATGATAAAGGTGTGTTGTGCAAGAACAGAAAGTGGTAGCTATGTCTGCATTGTTCAGGATGCAGTACAGCCAGGTGAGCAGCAGTGGGTGCTGCCAAAACCACTCATGCCCTGCCTGACCTGGGCAACACATTGGTTGCCTGACAGTCTCTGAGGCTGAACCCTCGATGGCCTGGAGACTGCCCTTTTGGGAGAGGGCAAGAGCAAGAAGGTAAGGAAAAAATGTGAGAGAAGGGTTACTAGGCTCAGCCTCTGGGAAATTCCCTTTTAGTGAGAAGAGATGAGCAGTCCTGCCATGTTCAAATACGGTCATTTCCCTGAAACATGATGTGGCTGAACCCCTGCCATAGGCAGAATAAAAATGAATCAGATTTTTGTAGGCAGAAGCAAAATACCCACTGACAACTGGAAGGTAATTTTGGCCTCAGCTGTTATGTTTTCTAAGCAAGAAGCACAAGTCTGCAGCAAGACTACCTCCTTCTATGAAGTAAACATGCTGCATTTGGTAATCTTTTCAGGGGTGTATTTCTTCACCTTCAATATGATGAAACATGAAGATGTGGAGGAAGTGTACGTGTACCTGATGCATAATGGTAATACAGTTTTCAGCTTATATAGGTAAGTGAAAGGTCAGGCCATTTTAATGCAAAGGACATGTTTGCGCAATGTGATAGCTTGATCATATTTCAAGAAACATGAAATTGTTCATTTTTTGAAGAAATTCTGTTGGGTAAAATAACCAATAAAGAAAATCTATTATATTTTGACCCCCTTAACTTGCAAATCTGGATCATAACTGCTACAGATACTGGACCTAAAATTCAGCCTTGATCAAAAGTTCCTCAAAGCTCAGGGGAAAGAAATTACCACTGCAAGTCAGGATTGGAGTCCAGTGCTAACAGGTTGGCATTCTGCTGAAACATATTTTCAGTCTCATTTTGCCTGTCAGAGAAAGGGCATAATGAAGTGTTCAACAACTAGTTACAGTTTTGTTAAACATTAGGGGAGAAAAATTTAAAGGTGGAAAGCATTTAAATTGCTGTAGTAAGGATGAGTAAGAAGCAAAGGTCCTCCATTTATGGACTTTATCATTAACACACTGAAAAAAAAGTTTCTGAACTCTTTATGTTAGCTGGAGGATCATCAAGAACAGAATCCAATTCTAGTCTATCAACTTCTATAAGATTAGGTCAAGAAGCTTGTAGCCAGATGGACATCTGAAAAAATATGTGTTTGAAGAAAATATTATTTCTTCAATACCAACCAGGGGCCTGATCACAAAATCAGGCTACTCCCCTGAGCCTGAATAAACAGACACAAAAGTTTAGATTAATCACACTGGATTTTAGACACTTAGATGATAGTAGGGTCATTTAAGCTGTCCAGATTTCTTCAACAGCCTGTACCTGAAACAGCACCAAAGGGTGCTTCATCCCCAATAGATTTTTACTGCAAAAGAAAAAGTGCCGCGTGTTTTTTCCATGAAGCACTAATGTGAGAGAAGTCACCAGGTAGAAGGAATGGAACCAAAGCTCATGCAAACCAGCAGGTTAGTCCACATCAAACATATCTATGTTCCAACAAAAGGCCTCAGGATGGAGTAAGATGCCTGTCACTGCCCACTGCCTGTGCAGAGAACACAGGGGCTCAGCTAACATGAGACTCCTCGCCTGGAAGCATTTAAAATTATCTGGGATGAATCCAAGGGAAAAAGAGCATCACAGGAAATCTGGAGTGTTGTGATGAATAAGCAGAGATTTATTTTAAACAACAAATTTGTCCCTGTGCCCTGGAAAAAAATATGTAAGTTTAACTTCCAAATTTTCACAAAGGAATGAAATTATGCAATTAGGTAAGCTGCAAAATGTGACTAGGAGATCAAATGCAGAAAGATGCCAAAATTTACTCATAAAGCTGAGAAAATGTTGGCAAGCCTTTCAAGGAAGTTTTGCTCAGGATAACAATGTGCTTTCTTGCATTTTTTTGTTTTAAGTTGTTTGCTTGATCATTGTTGAGAAACAAAAAGCTGACTTTTTAAAATATTCATCCTTAGCTATGAATCAAAAGGGAAAGCAGACACTTCAGGAAACAGTGCAGTCCTAAAACTTGCCAAGGGAGATGAAGTTTGGCTGCGAATGGGAAATGGAGCACTCCATGGAGACCATCAACGCTTCTCCACCTTTGCTGGGTTTCTTCTTTTTGAAACCAAGTAAAAAAAAAACAAAACCAAAAAAAAAACCCACCAAAAACCAATAGATGTTTATTTGAAGAAACTTCTTTTTTGGAACTGGTATTTTTCTCTGGACTGGGGAATAGCATTACAACACTGAAAGATCAAGAACGCTTGTTTTGATGCAATGCATTGCTATTTGTGTGTCAGAAATGAGCTGACTACATTGGGTAGTTGACACACAGATTCACAGAATGTGTATTGTCATCTGGGTTGTATCTAGTGAATTGTTAAATGTTGCTACTTCTCTCTTCTCCAAAGTGACTGAAAAACAAAGGAAAAGGAGCTTAAATAATCTAGAGAACAGTTTGCGCAGTAAAGTCAATTTAGTTAAGTATATGTCAGGAATTTAACAACTGATTCAAGTTTTTCTGTTCATTTATTCAGTTCTGATTACAAGCTCATTTATGTTTGCATCACAGAAACAGGCCTGAACGAATTATAAGTAGGCTCAGCTGAGACCAGGTTTAAAGGAGAAAGTTTTTACTAGACTAGAATGAACTTTACAAATAGAAGAAAAAAATGTGAAAATAAAGATGTCAAGGATTCAGGTTTATTCCATTTCCTTCTCAAACCTCTGAAAATGCATAATTTTTCATAGATTTTTAGTACATATTTATGCTTACTCTCTCTTTCTTAAAATAAGAGTGGTAGTAATTCTTGCCTTAGTAGCAGCTTCAAGCTAAGGTAATTTAGCCTGCAGTGTGCAGGGGATCAGACAGGGGAACGGTAATGCTTCTTCCTAGCCTTCAAATTATTGAAACCCGATGTAACTAACTACAAGGTGTCAAAGCAGAGGCATATACGCTGGAGAAGTTGGTATATGCCAAGAGCACAAACAGAGAAACACACATTTTATGGAGTCTGAAGCTCTTTTAGAAGGATGTACCTTTTAATATTGCATATTTACTTAACAGTGAAGTTGTTGATAGTTTTCCTAGCAGCCTTCCAAGAACCAGTATTTCACGAAAAGACGCTGCAGCCTGGCAAAGCAGCAACTAACCCAGTTCAATATTTAAGCAAACACAAATGCTGTCTGGCTCAGAAGTTCAGGTCACAGTAAACTGGGCCATTCTTCAGCATTAATATTTACCACCCGCTTTTCAAAATTTGGGTACCTGAAATTCTTTCTTGCTGTTTTCATCAGAATCAGCACAGAATATACTAAGCCAGTACTGAAGTTTGAATATATCTTCTGCACATTCTGGTTCTCCACACACAAGCTAATGAAATATAAATTACATTTTGACAGATACTACATTTTAACCAGATATTACCTGCCATTAATGTATAATAAGCAGGTAGGGTTACAAAAACATTTATTCGAAATTCTTTTAGAGTCAATACAGATATCAGTAGCATGATAATAGAGCAAATGAATCAAAATCTGCCCTATGAATTTTTATGTCCTTCTACATGTTCCTAGTGTATGTACACCATGTCCTATGATGACAAATGCATGTTAATACTTGATGATTGTGACTTGTGGTTTTTTAGTTTTATGCATCAACCACTGAAAATATTAGCTTTAATGAACTGTCATCCAATGAGTTTTATTGTTTGTTAACCTGAGTCAGGTTTGCACCACACAGGTTTTCAAAAAACCTGAGACCATGTTATTTTAATAAGCGTTTTAGCAAAATTCTGGCATGCCTTCAAACTAAAACCCACCCACCAGGTAATGAGCTAAAGTTATTCTTTTGGAATAAGTGCACAAGTTGCATGAGATATATGGCATCATAAGCTAATGTTCATAGTAGGAAAAATCTTGAAAAAGTATTTCCTGTTGTGTTAGAAATGTTTGTTTACTTTATAAAACATACATTTACCCAATAAAGATTAATAGTCATAAAACTATACTGGTTTGTTCATGTCTATATTTACCAAGGACCTTGCCATTTGGAGACTATGGGGATATAATCTTAATAGTTATTTCCTAAGCATTTATTTTGCTACTGAACATGAGAAAACCAGCACTAAGGTTCAAAATATATTTATTTTACTGGTGTGTGTGTGTGTGTGTGTATATATATATATCTATCTCTCTACATAAAATTTAAATCCCCAAGGTTTCCTTTGGGGACTTAATTTTCCTTTATGGCATGACCATTTAAATCCATTTTGGTCAGAATAAAGCACTTAGAAACTATGATACATATACTCATTTTAAGCTTCTTTACATTATCCCTTGTAATGGCAATTATATAAAAGAAAGCCAAGTTTTGCCATTCTCATTTTATGCTGTTTTCACAAGTTTTGTACAACTTGGCCTGCTAAGAGCAAAAGCAACTAAGAATGATCACAAAAGCTTCTGAAAAACGGCAGCATGGTCTCAGTTCCAAGGTTAAAGCTACGAGGTTTTTTTACATCAAGGTTGAAACTTCCTAGTTTTTGTATGAAATCTCTAGTCTTTTCTCTGCAAAGTTACTGCATGCAATCTCTGCTGAGTGTTGTAATACTTAAAAAATAAATTGTTAACTTACATATTAATTTCAAATATCCTTCAAAATATAGCAACTGATGTAAAAATCTGTGTGTGTGTGTGGTTTTGTTACTCACAGTTATCAGGTTTTGCATTCAGAAAGTCAAGTGGAATATATCTTTTTTTTCTCATGTTTATGAAAATTAGTCATCTTTCCACTGCTGCTGATAAATGAAAGCCTCTTGCTTAGCAGATGCTGAAGACAAAATGTCTTCTGTCAGAGACTTTAGTCCTCTATTATAAAATAGGTGGTATCTTGTAATTTGTGTTACAAGTAAGAAACCTGGAAACTCAAAAGCTGCAATTTGGAGTACACTTAATGTTTTTTTGCCTTTACTAAACTGAGTCTATATCTCTCTCCCACACCATGAGCTCTCAGATTTAAACAAAACTTTGCAAGAGCTGCAAGCCCCTGCCTGCCAGGAGAACTGTGGTTTGGTAGGTGATATCCTGCCTCTGTGGTAGGAGCTGGCATCCTAGCAGAAAGAAACACTGCCCCACACACAGACAAGTTGAGCTCTGCTCTATGTGAAACACCAGCTCCCACTCTAGGTCCTCCCTTCTCCCTGAGACTCAGGGACTGCTGCCCTTCCCTGTGACATCCTTGCAAGGTAGCAGCTCTCATCTTTAGATTCATTAGGAACATTAAGGGCTGCATTTTCCAAAACAGGTCTGTGTGCCACTTGAGAGATGCTAGTTGGACCCCCTTGGCAGAGGTAAAACACAACTTCTGTGCATGAAAAACATGAGCTACAATGAAACCTAACCGAAGGAAAACATCTGAGGTCTGGGTCAAAGTTTCATGAGTGGTGTTTAAAGAAAGCGGAAAGCAGCTCAGTTTAACTGGAAATCCTTGAGGAAAAAATTCACGGTTTGAGAGGCTAGTCCATGGCCTGAGGGTGACTGAGTTGATTCTGAGAAAGCAATTTAGACTGACAACAGTTTGCAGCCTGTTCCAAAGAAAACCTTGTGAGCCAAAGGGAAGACTTTATTTAAAATAAAGTATCAGTTTTTGAAAGGGAAAATAAGGAAAGCACTCTTCACTCAAATCTTTCATCTTCCCCATGAAATTTTGCACAGTTTCCTACATTACACCCTACTGCTTTCTGAAATACTTTCTAATAAAAGTGTTTTTTTACTAAAATTGTTTTTTTCTCCTACCTAGCTAATATTATGTTTTCTGCCCAGAACCCCCAAAAATCACACAAGGACAAAACATGCAGGGATTTGATGCATGGTGTCTGAAAAGGCCCACAGTTCTCAATTTTGGTAAATCAGTAGGAAAATGTCTCTGTTTTGCAGTTAATTGTGCTTGAGCAACCGAAGGAAAGAAAACTTGTCAGTGACTAGCTCAGATTTAAAAATCTGAGGCAACAAAATGAATTGTGCAAAGCAGTGCTCCAGGCTGCATGTCATACTTGGGTACCTGTGAAGACATAAACTCTAGAAACCATCTTCATAAATTAATATAATATGCAGTTCTTAGTATGACCAGGTTCCTTCTTACGCCGAAGGGCGACAGCTCCTTTATAGTCTTTGGGCCAAACCACACAGTCATAGCAGGAGTTAGAGCACCTGCAGTGCCATGTTAATTTTCATTATCAAATAGTTTCCTTGAGGGAATTAGGCAGCACAGGAGTAGCAGCACACAACTTGCCTCACCACCCTGCTCTCTGGTTACATTGATACTAAAAAAACAAAACAGTGCCAGAGTCTATTCTCCAGCCTGGAGTTATCATCTGACTATGTTAACACTAAACTCTCAGCCTCCATAGTGGGGTGTCTGCTTGCAAAACTGTCTGTTGGGACTAATCCCCAGTTTGAACTAACTTTCAAGTAGTACTGAAGAAAAGTTTGGGAGATAACTCCTTGTCATGGGCTAAAGGCATTTGCAAGGACCTTCTGCTAACAGTGGCTCAATATGTGTATCTGCATTTGAAATGCAGAAGTGCATCCTCCATGAGCATACTCACAGAATAGTAAAACCCATGTGGTGCAAAGTTTTATTAAACAAAGAGACTTCTTGTGTTAACTGGTGAAAAATTGCACAAATGGAGTTTTATCCTTCTGCTTTTCTGAAAACAACCCAGCAGATTTGAGAAATTCCACAAAAAGCAGTGTTTTAAAAGAATCACATCGTTACAACACCAAGAATGGAAATACCCATGTTAAAACCATCTTTGACATCTCAGCTCCCATTTCCTGTGAATGTGTCTCATCATCTAGCCACATGCTACTCCTTAGCCTCATCCAGCAGCAATTATATGATGCTTGTTGAATAAGACATGGGCCATATACTGGAATGTGATAGCAAGAGATGAATATAGAACAGCTTCATTCAGTAACTTCATCCAAATGAAGTAGTTACTACAGAAAATAGAGCATACTAATATGTAAGAAAGAACAGTGGAATTAAAATTCACAGCATCAACCTTAATTTTAGATTTAATTTTCTGTTTTTAAGAGCTTCCATTTTTCAATCTTAGTAATTTTTTGAAAGAAAAACACTCCAGACTCTTGCAGTGTACTAAAGTTGATGAGAGTCAAGGAAGACTGTAAGGACTGGAACTTCAGGCCAGGAGATGGGAATCCAGTGTTTGTGCCACTCTGTCATGTGAAAAGTCTTGGTCTGCACCTGAAAGTGTTGTATGGAATTTTATTTGTCTCCTGTTCATCTTTTAAACTAGAGAAGAGTAGAAGTGTGTGTTTTGAATAAAATCTTTAAGATACTGCATCACTTAAGATCAAAGCTTTCTTCCCTCCAAGACTACTTGCTTCTCAGAATGGTCCATGATTGTTTTCTAAAATTACCAAAGGCACACAAAATAAATAACATGAAGTAGGTATGCCACAGCTAAGGCGCAAATGAAGGGTGCATGGGCAAGGTGATGGAAGCAGTTCATAAAAACAAAGGCTTATCAATCCAAAGAACTAGCAATGCAGGAGAAACTGACTTTAATGAATGCAGTAGACAACACTGTCCAGCAGGAATGGCTCGCTGGAAGTAAGTTTAGGGCATGATTGCAAGCAGTAGTATGTGTGGTGCCCAGCACAGCGCTGAAGCTCCGTATCCAGGCAAACATAATCTGGGAATAACCCTGGTCTAGAGTCTGCAGTCCCTACAACAGTGGTTAATAATAAACACACAGGAAAATATTTACTTTCTACTGATTAGCCAATATAAAGATTAGCTAATTGCCAGTCTCTTAATCTAAATCATGAAAGCACAGTAATACCACAGACTGTGACTCAGAGGAGATGGTTCAGGTACAAGGGTAAATGACCAAAGTACAGAAATCACTTCCACAGGCATCAGTAATTTGTTCTACTTTAGTAGAGTATTAGAGGGCAAATTTCTGACTCTGTGACAGTTTGTGGCAAAGCCTGTTTACTGCAGCAAGGCCCATCACCCCAGTGACTGGACTAAACAACTCACAAACTGTATTTTTTCTAGGATGTGTAGATTTTAATGAGGTAGCACAAGGCAGTTTATGCAGTTGCTTTCTGTGGATGAGACTGAGCTTTCACTAACTCAATCTATAATTCATAATCTCAGATAGACAGAGCCAGATTCTCAAACAGCATGAATTCACATCTACTATTGATCTCAGGATAGATCCACTTTGGCACTTTTTGCTGGTGTCTGGTGGGATGTACACTTATGAGAGTGAGCAATAATATGTGAATTCACACTCACACAGAAGCAGAGAAACACAGAAAGGCAAAGAGAAGCTCCACACTGAAGAATCTGTTGAAACTGCAGAGATTAAGCTGTTGCATTTGACAAGAGATAGTGTGTCACAACAGCACACAATATGATGTCAGAAATCTGGAGTATCACCCACATGGTCTCTGTGGATATCAAGAAGTGTTATGAATGGAGCACAGCTCCTACTCAGGTAAGGCATAAACGCAGGCTTTGGGATAAAGCACCTACGCTTGAAAGCTTTGATAAATTTGGCACACAAAAATATCACCATAAATTTCATGAGAATGTTTAAAGTTCTTAGTTTAAGGTTAATACATTTGAAGTGACTAGAGAAGTTTCACCCTAAGTAGTGACCTACTGTTTGCATTTTCAGGCAATTATAATTATCAAGATTTGAAATATTAAAACAAGTAAGAGCAATTCTTGCTTTTCCATTTAGCAAAGCCAAAACTGTACTGATACTAGTATCTCTTTAACCATGTATTAAGATGGACTAAATTATAAACAATATACATTTGAAAGGGGAGAATCAAGGTTTTGTGTACAGCTACAACTTCACATTCCCACCTTAGTTTTTTTTCCAAAGGACTGAAAAGTAATTGTTAACAACATATCTGATACAAATTGTGAAAGTCTGGCATGCAGGGTAGCCAACCTGTACCAGAATTGCCTGTACCTCTGTAACACACAGTATATATAATTTAATTTTTTGAACACTGTAGAATACACTAATTTCAGTATAGGAATTATATACATTTGACAGGATGACACAGAAAGTGACTCACTGACATAATTCAATAAAGCTCACAAAAGCAGTCTGATAAAGTGTGAAACTCAGCCCAGTGTCCTGCTACCCACACTGGGGTTTTAATCTGAAAACAATCTCTTTTACTACACCTGTTGCTTCTGTAGTGAATTCATACAGCCACCTATTTGCTGCTGTGTGTTGATGATGAGTATTAAATGGTATCGCATAGATAAGCACTGCATGCCTTGGTTAATTGGAATATTTGTTTCTCTCTCATGCCTGTTTATTTCTTAGTTTGTTAAAATCCAATTTTTCAAAGTGGATTTAATGCTCACAAAATGCTCCCCTCACACCCCTGAAACTGAAATAATTTAATAAGGTCCTGACCTGAATGTTTCTGCCACAGAGTACCCATTGTCATGGTGAATGACAACAAAAAAGCAGGTGCAAAGGGCTGCATAATTAAACCATAGCAAAATCCAGACCTTATCCAGTGTGTGATCATGGTTATTTGGATATGATAAAACAAACAGAATCCGGGGAAATGAAAGCAGGTGACACAACAGAAATTGCTTGTTCCTATTCAACACAAACTCCAAGACTCAAAAGTTAGAGGAGACAAATGAAACTGAAATAACTTAAAGAACTGAAGTGTCCCAGTAACATGATGATGTCTGTGGAAATAAACCTTTATACAGAATAGTGTCTCTAAGGGAGGTGGATAAATAAAACAAGCTAGCTTCATTTGAATGAAAATGCACGTATTTTTATCTCTGTCGTTTCTTGTGGCTGGCAGTATAGCAGTGGATTCAATCAGTGCCTGCATTACAGGACCAGGACTTGGAAAATAAAGGGGTATTCTGGCAACAGACCTCTTCTGTTTGTTATTGCACAGTTAGAACAAATTCTGCATTCATATTTGCAGCCTTTACACATTTTTGTGGTCCAACTAATTTAAAGAAATAAATAAAATGAGCATGGAATTGATTTTAAGGGCCTCTTTGCTGTCTCCTACCTGGTAACCTGAAATACTGGTAAATTTGAAAAGCTGTGTGTTAATGCAATGCCTGTTTCATCACCTCTTCCAGATGGATGTCTTTTCCTGTGAGCAGCCTAAACAAAAACAAGACGACCAAGGCCTCCAGTCAAACATGGCTGCTTTTCTGGCAGGCTGCATTAAAAGAGCAACTCTGCATGAATGCGGGCTTTATGAAACCTCGTTTGATTTAACCAAACACAAACCCCTGTGCTCAGCGCAGGGGAAACTGGAGCCATTTCTGGCCAAAGCTCCACCACACTGCTGGCCAGGCAGAAGGCTGCCGGGCTGATGGCCTCCATTGTGAGTCTTCCCTTTGTGGCACCACTGGGCTGATGGCTCTGCACGGGTGTGCTGCAAGCATCAAGATCTTGATTAAAGTTTGTATTTATTTAAAATCCCCGTGACATACTTTCCACAAGCTGCTGTTCCAGCCCTGTCCTAATCAGATTTATCAGGGACTGTTTAAGATGTTGCTACTGCAGCTGCAGGCTTTGCCCCTTCAGGAGAGGCTACAGCTGCTGTAGCAGGAGCAACAGATCCAGATAGCCCAGTTTAAAGGCACATCTGGTGCTACTAAGCAGCTTTAATGAGCTCTTCTGCGAATATCCAAGAATGTGACCCAGAAAGGCAGATGTGTGTGCAGGTTTGGACCGCCCGTGGCAGCCCCAGCACAGGCTGCACAACCGGCACTGCTATCAGCCACCCTGTAATAGAGGACGGCTGGTACTGGGGAGGTTTTCCGCAAACTAGCTGCTGATTTTCACATACTTTGCTGCCTGCCCGACGCCCGGCAGCGAGAGAACGGCCATCTCCTGACTAAAACGCCATGCGGAGGGGCACCGGGGCGACCCTCGGCGTAAGACGCACCAGGCCGCGCTCAGGAGACGGGGCCGAGGACCGGGAGGGAGCCGTCAGGCCCCGGGAACCGCGGCCAAGGCGAAGAGCGGAGGCGTGCGCGTCACCGGAACCGTTCGTGCGTCGGCGGCGACCGATGATATATCGGCGCGGGTCGATATTTCGGCGCTCGGCAGGCGGCGGCCATGGCGCTGAGCGGGGTGCGGGTGCTGGAGCTGGCCGGCCTGGCGCCGGCGCCGTTCTGCGGCATGATCCTCGCCGACTTCGGGGCCCGGGTGGTGCGGGTGGACCGGATACCCCAGTCCGCCGTGGCCACCGACGTGCAGGCCCGCGGCAAGCGCTCCATGTTGCTCGACCTGAAGCGACCCCTGGGCGCCGCGGTGCTGAGGCGGCTGTGCCGCGGCTCGGACGTGCTGCTCGAGCCCTTCCGCCACGGTGAGGCGGGGGGCTGCGGTGTGGGGCGCGGGTCAGCCTCGGGGAGGTTGTGTGGTGTGCGCCGGAGGTCGGGGGGGTGGCGGCCAGGGGGCCGCGGGGTGCGGTGCTGAGGGGCTCGGGTCAGTCTGTGACCTCTTGTAGTGCACAAAGTGGGAACAGAACAGCGTCGTGTTGCTTCGTGTGACTGGGTGAGAAGTGCTGTGGCACGGACCGGAGTTCGTGAAAGTCAGCAGCCCGGCAACACCACAGGGAAGGAGAAGCCGTGGAAGGTGCTCAGCCGGGACCTTGCTCCACTGACTGAGGCGCTGAACAGATAGTTCTGGATGGCAGCAGAGGGTGTCTGAGCTGAGGACTCATGCACGAGCTTGGGCGTCAGTCCTGCAGTGATTTCTCAGGCTTGCTGATGTAATTCAAGTCACATTTGTAAAGCTGGCACCTGCGTAAGATGTAGCAGAGTGTTGGTCTAAGTCTCAGAACTTACGATTTTTCTGAAGACAACAGATCTAACATGCTGTCTTTGTTTATAAACCATACACAGGCAGTCATCTGGTGCTCACACACAGGCTATTTCATTATCTGTAGGGAGAGGCGCTCGGAAGACCTCGCGATGTACGGGAAGAATAGGGAACCAATCAAACATGCCAAAGAAGAATGTTACCAAAACACAGCCATGCTTAAGGTGGATCCCTTTAAGGAGCATATATAAGGCAATTGCACAGCTAGTAAGTTGAACAAGTAGCAGCCATCATATTGGTGTCTGTGCTTTTGTTCCCGCGAAGGTTTTAACCTCCTGCAAGGGTTAGCTGTGATCTGAGTGCTGCATTTCTGTGGATTGGCAGGTAGAAAAAGACAGCTCATGCCTTACCACAACAATTATACCTCCTGTTCCTTGAGGATGCTGTTCTGTTGTCAAGACGGTCAAGAAGGCCAGGTTGGACAGGGCACTGAGCAACCATATCTAGTTGAAGATGTCTGCTCATTGCAGGGCAGTTGGACTAGATGACCTGTACAGGTCTCTCCCAACCCAAACTGTTCTGTGATTCTATGATCATGCCTCAGTGAGGAGCTGGCTGAAGTGTTCAGGGGTTCCTGCAGTCAGTTTTAGAAATAGAAGGCTGTAGCAGTTAAACATCCCACATCACAAACAAATTACGTATTCTGTGTCACAGATAATGCTTTTTCATTCTGAAAACAGTTTTATGATTGTCATGTTTTTTTACCTTAAGAGTTTTTTGTTTTGTTCCTCAGAAGCTGTGCAAACAAAACTAAGACATTAAATTCCATTCTTCACTGTAGCTAGTTTCTTATTTAATTTGTGCTTTTTCGTATCATAGAAATTTCCGTTTTCTTTAGTTTTAAAAGCACTTTTTTTTTTTTTTTTGAAGTATGGAAATGCAGGTAATCTTGTAAGTAAACACCAGGTTTTATGGGCCTGTAACTGAACTATGAAAATCTGTGATCCAGCATGAAGCTGGTGTGAACCAGTAAGAAGATGAGAGCCCAAGTGGCAGCAGAGTTTCTCTTTTCACTTGTCCTTTTGAAATTCTTGCTCTTTATCAAATTTCACTGCTTTCTTCATGGCATTAATCACTTGCCACTGCCCAGTAAGTAACACGATAGAAATAGATCTTAGGAATTTGAAGGTTTAGTAATAGTATGGACTAGTCCATGAAACGAGTTGCGGTAATAGATTCTGGGGCAGAATAGCCATTGAAATTACATTACCCATACCCCTCCAGAATGCGTCTCCCTGCAGTGCCAGTATAGACTGTAGAGCATAGTTTAACCAAGCTCCACTGACCCAATAAAAATTCATAATTTATCTGCAACTTGAATTTTCTTCTTTTAAAACCCACTGTTTTAGAACTGCAAGATCAAAATTTTAGCCTTGATTGCTATAAACCCATGCTGACCAACTTACATTTCACTGATGTCTAAAAGTTCCTTATTCTCTGCATTACAAAAAGAACCCATTTTCTTCTGTGCAGTTGTTGCAGATCTGTTGTGGACTAGTGGCATGATCCATTTGCATCAGTGAGTTAAAGGACAGAGGAACACATGGGGTACTGAGAGGCTAATAAGGGTGAGGAAAGAATATTCTAGTGAAAAACTGAAGCAATTGCAGGTCATTTTAATGTGGAATCCAGAAGAATTTGCTTTCTTTTGGTTTTTTTCCTCCCCCAAGCCTTTGGTAGCTTTCTGTCCCATTCAGCAGTACAGGGATTATAGCAAGCTGTCTGGCAGTCTTTTGGGGAAGTAAAACTGGAAAAAAAGCTGAAAAAGAAGGGACCTTAGAACTTTATTTCCACTTAATTGGCTTGTATTCAAAATGTATGCAGTATGTTGGCAATTTCTAACATTCTGGCTTTTCACACTGTAATATAGATCCTGAATTACAATATATTACTTCATAAATTGCAATTCAGTTCTGTTGTATAATTTAACTTTGAATCATATATATTTTGAATCTTATTAAAAATAAATGTGAATTAGCATTCTGTGTCTTTGTCTTTTTAAGGTGTCATGGAAAAACTGGGACTTGGTCCAGATGTCCTTCTGCAGGAGAATCCCAGACTCATCTATGCTAGACTTACTGGATTTGGCCAGTCTGGAAAATATGCCAAGTCTGCAGGTCATGACATCAATTATTTGGCTTTGTCAGGTAGGCTGTTGAATTTCCTGTCAAATAAGGTTTTTTCCCCACTTAAATCAAGACTCAGGAATTAATTGAAAGGTTATTTGCAGATAGCTCAAGTTACCTGGGGTGCAGTCTGATGAAATAGCTGAGCAGATCTGAATAGTTTCTGTGAAAGGAGGGTTTTCTTCTCCTGTGTGCTTCCCCCTGCTCCTTTCTCTTAAGTCAGCTCTGGTACTTCCTTAACCCCTCTGTTAGCTCCCTCACAATTCAAAAACTGGGCAGGAGAAATAAGGATGTTTTTCTGCCATATTATTGAGGTGAAGCAGTCCATTAAGGGATCCAACAAAAATAAAAAGTCAAAATAGGAAAGGAGGAACATGGACTGCACGGGTTTTTCATTTTGGCAGCAGTAGTGAGCTGTTAGACTGGATCAGCATGTCTTCTCAGGCTACACAGTATTTTCCTTCCTTTGTACTATTTTATCTGAATTAAGTTTTTCTCTTTGAAGAAGGACTGAAGTTTTCATGCATTTTTGTCTTTCTTCAGGGCCTCTCTCGGGAAAACCTTATATTCAAAATCCCAAAGGGTCTACACATTATTTTGCATGTCTGTGAGCAGCTTTTTTTGAGTGAAGAAAAACTAGGCAGCCTAAGCCATTTGAGCTCTTGTGCCTTTCCACTGCAAATATCTCTCCATTGATACCAATCAAAAGGAAACCAGGCTTAAAATAAAGTGGTAATGCTGTTTCCTTAAGGTGATGTAGACAGTATGCTGGTTGTAAGTGTCACAATTCTACAACTATGTAGTAATAAACAGTAACAAAATTACCCAACTCTGGTGATAGCAGTTGGTGTCATGCATGGCCCAGCTACTGCTGTTCACACTTCTGCTGCTGCTTCTCTGAGCCTGCAAGGGAGGTGCAGAAGTGGCCCAAAGCTTCTTGTCTTCCCGCTGGACACAGCATTTCTTTTAGTCCCAGCAAAGGGCCAGAGCAGAGGCACTGCAAATGGGGGGATCTGGTATCACCTACTATGGGGGTCATTGTGTTGTGGAATTAAGTTTCTTCAGGGATGGGTTCAGTCTTTATGTAAGATTGTCAAAATACAAAAAAGAGAAAAGAAAGAGTGCCTTGTTTGAAACACTTTTGACTTCATATCAGATGATTTTAAAAGTTTTTTTATTTTTTATTGGCATAGGGAAAATAACAGTACAGAAACAGTATAGTCCATCTCTACCTTAGATTGTAGTACTTCTGTTCACAAAAAAGTGTTTTTTTCTCAGGAGCTGATTTAATCAGTAGTATTTTGGTTAGTGCTATCTTCCTAAAATCATTTTGCTTGAAATTTCACAGTCAAGTTTTTATCCTTATTTAAAAGAAGCACAGGACAAGGTGTTTGGGAGGTATCATTCCTCAAAATGAGATCTCATATTCTGAGAGTTTTCCTGATGAGCATTGCCTTTTTTCTTTAACTAAAGTCACTTGCGTGGGAAACTCCAGGTACAAGTTAATATGTTAATCTGCCTTTAGGCTGTTAAAAGTGAGATTTCAGTCAGGAACAGGGCTTTATGCTATCACTACAGGGTCTGGAAACTTCTTTACAGTGTGCACTCAGAAAGTGCATTAGACTGTTAGCTAACTAAACAGGCCATCAGAGTCATGCAGTTCTCAGGCAATTTTGACCATGTATGCTTCAAGTCTCAGATCTTAGACTACAGGCATAGGAGAAATATGAACATACCGCAGTTTCTTGCCTGCCCAAAGGGAATCACTATGAGGGAACTACAGAGTAAGGTGACAGTAAAGAGGTTGTTCAGGATGGCAGAGAAATGCTAACAGATGCAAAGCTCTTTCTGAAGTAAACTGGCTTAGCCTTTGCTCTGTTCTCTTTCATTTCTACATAATTACTGGCATGAACATAGGTTCCCCGTGTCTGTTGTATGCAATCAGAAGTAATCTTTCAGTGTTATTCACGCATTCTTCTTATACACAAAGTTGGTTTTTTTTTTCCAAAAGGTATTTGAAGAGGGAGGATAGGACAGAAGTCTAGTTTTTGGTGGAAAAATCCTTTGTTATAATATTTTTTGGATTAAATTTGTCCCTATATAGCTAAATTATCAATGGTTTATCTGTGAGACTTTTGTTAATCTCTTTAATTAAATGCATCTTCACTGGTGAGATCTCATATATTCTATTTTTTTGTGAATTAAAGAGTAAATACTTGCTATGACACAGCCGACTAGAGACAGAAAACTGTTAGTAGAAGTTTTCTTTATCCCTTGTTTGAAAAGAATGAAACTTTAATTGTAGAAATGTAGAAATTAACATTTATAATTAATTTTATACTTAGGTTTGCTTTGTTTGCTTTACTGTCAGGAGTGCTATCTAAGCTGGGTAGAAAAGATGAAAATCCTTATGCACCTGTAAATCTTCTGGCGGATTTTGCTGGTGGAAGTGTCATGTGCGCATTCGGCATTGTTACAGCACTTTATGAGCGTACCAGATCTGGCAAAGGCCAGATCATTGATGCAAGTATGGTAAGTTTGGTCTAAAGGTAGGTGGGGTTTCTTAGGTTTGCTTGTTTGGATTACTTTCCCAGTCTCAGTGTGTAAAATGGAGGAAATAGCAGCTTTTTTGTAAGATTTAAAATTGATAACTTGGTCAGGGGAAAGTAAGTAATACATAAAATAGCTATTACTTCATGTTCAAGCAGTTTTTACATATCCCTATTGCCATAACATCCTTCTGACATGGGACATATGGCTTTCCCCCTGTGCCATTCCCTCTCTTTCCTTTTACCAGTTGCCTTCTTCACAAAATATTAGCTGTATATATTTGATGAGTAAGCCTGGTGTGTGAAGTAGGGTATCTAATAAATAATTAACATCATGCATAGCAGCAAACATGAGGATCCTAATAAGATGAAGAATTGCATTAGCTTTATTCAAGATACATCTGCTTATGAATTTGTGACAGGTCATGTCTTATTAGAAGCACCGTGCCCTCGAATAATTGCGGTGGATTCCAAGAGTTTGCGTTAATGTACCATAAAATAAATGAAAGACTAAATGAGCTTAATATGGATTTTTTCACTGCAAGGCTACTCACTTCCAGAGGAAAAATATATGTTTGCATTTATCTGTGAAACCTATATTATATACAAGTGTTTTTTTTTCTTTCTGTCTCTCCGTTTTTCTTTTTAAAGAGCATTGCAGTTAAAATGAGACCTCTCTTCAAGGTGTTGTGGTACAGTGAAGACTATCATTTGAACTAATATAAATTTGATATATATTGTAATATATGTATAATTGAATGTATAAAAATGTATATAAATATACATTTATACATTTATATGTATATACATTGTTATATATAAAATTAAATATATATTGAAACACATATATCAATATAATTGAAATAATATAAAATGAATCTAAATTGAAAAAAAATATATTGAAGAAAATCCCTTTGAAGAGGTCTTGAAGATAGAAGAATAGCAAGATAAATTAGCTCTATTGACTTGAGAAACTTTTTGGCAAATTCACATGACATTCTTAGAAAACTGTCCTACATTAAAATTCTGTGGGATCAGTGCAAAACTGATTGTTTTAAACACATTTGCAAAAATGTTTTTAGCCTGACAATAGTTATTAGTAGTTGATTGTCAAAGTGAAAAACTTATCAAATGGAGTTCTGCAGATTGTTGTTTTGTTTTCAGTGTTTTCTCCAATAAGCTGAATAATGGATGAGTGATTGTGTTTAGTAAATTTACAGATGATAATATGTGTGGGAAGAACTACAAGTGTGTTGGACATTTGGATTAGAATTAAAAATGACCTTTTCAAATTGGAGAAATGACATGAAAAAAATTGGCTGAAATTTATGGAGACCAATGGTCTGTAGTCCTCTTAGGCAAAAACAATTAGCTGCACAAATGCAGTATGAGAACAATTGACTACAAAGCAATCCTGGGGTTTGTAGTAGTCACAAGCTGAACATGAGTCTACAATATCATGCTGTTGTAAAACACATACACACTGTATTAGGATGTATAAGCAGGAAATAGAGCCAGCAAAGTTTCTGAAGTAATTCTTCTAACCTATTCAACATTTATAAGGCCTCAGGAAAATACTGTTTCTGATGCTGGCCATCACCTTTCCAAAAAAATGACCGATTTGAGGGAATCTGAGAAACACCAAAAAAATTATGTGAGTCTGAAAATACGACCTACAAAGAAAAACTGAAGGATTTTTGTATATTTCTGAAGCAGAAACTGTGGAGAATTGTGGCAAGTCTTCAAATATTCAAAAAGACATTTCTTGAAGTTTAGAGTATTACCTTATTTCACTATCGGTAGTTTAAGTCATTAAAAGAATTTGTTAGAGAAGAATCATTGTAAGTCCGCTAATGTCCTGATGAGATCTGTGGCCCATTGGAAGTGGAATGTGTATAGGTTTTTGTGGTTTTAAGACATCAAAACTTCTTTCATTTTTTTTCTTGTCTCAATATAATTGTGGAATTTACAGTTCCCTGCTGATGTTCCTGGTGTCCTGTGAAATAGATGTAATATTGTCCAGTGTCACAGCCTATTTTGTTACGTTCCTTTCACCTGAACAGACTTCCAGTGAGACAACTGATGAATACCATACATGCATCATCAACAAAGACAGTTAAATAGACTGGGTTGGTGACCCTGTTTTTATATCTAAGTTTGTTTCATGGAGGTAGATATTTTTAAAAGCACAATACCACAGCATTTCAACTGTCATTTCATTTTAACATTATTTTTTGTTTAATAGCCCTGTTACTTAAGTTGTTGTACAGTTTAGGTAGTCTCAGTGTTAACAGCTCTGACATGTGGTGGAATTTTCTGTGGTAGAATAGGGAGAATTAATTTCTTTTTTCACAGCTTTGTGTCATCAGGATTTCTGATATTGAGTTTTCATCTTCATGGATTGTTTTACTCACCACTTGTTTATTTTTTTCTTTTACTGTAATGTCTATTTTTCAGAAGTAATGTAAAAAAAATATTTCTTGTCTTTGAGGTTAGTACTTCTGAATTGAGATTCAAATTTTTGTGATAGAAGAATTTGTTATTTATCTTTTATTTCTAATTACTATACTGAAAGCTGAAAAATGCTTTGAGTGCATTCTTATGATCAGTGATACACACATGAGAAACCCTTCTAGTTACTGAAACTGAACTGGTACAAGAAGAGATTAGGATCAGGCCAAGGGCTAGATTTGCATCATGTGTACACAGTGTCCAGTGTTATTTTTGCACTGAATAAAAAGTAGACACCAGGGTTTTGTTTCCAGGTATCTGCCTCAGAAGAATTAAATGCCTGGTCTGAATTGTTTCGTGTTAGTTGCTGTCTCTTCTCACTGACTGTATAGGGATTATGGGTATCTTACAGTGAGCCATATAGTTTCTGCATGCTGAGTAGGATGTGGAGTGGACACTGCAATATGATGCAGTAGGCACGCTTGTACATCCACACTGGAACAGAGGCATGTGAATCAGGGCCACACTTTAGGTTCACTCCAAAGTCAGACACCAAGTCTTCTGCTGATGGTAGGCATCTGACCAAACATGACTCACTCTTTGTGAAAAGATAGCCACAGTAGAAGATGGTGGTAGTTATCACTTGCATAACAGTCTCATGGCAAGAGCATTTAGCTGTCCAGCGGAAGACTGGCCTTCCAGGTTTTTCTCAGCCTGGAGGTATTTAAAACCAAAACTCCCACATTGTAGAGGCATTCATCAGTCACGAGGGTAAAGATTAGGTTGGTGTGGGTTTGTTCTCAGTTTTGTTTGAACGGCTTCACTCTGCAGAAGGAACAGAAGACTCATGGAGCAGACAGGTCACCCAGCAGGGTGATGCCTCTGGATTCTTGTTCTGCTTCAGAGTCTGCTGATGCTTTTATCTTGAGGGAGCCATTAAGTGAAACACATAACTGTTACTGTAATCATTCTGCAATTATGGCTAAGTGGAGTCTCCCCATGTTGTCCTTTTCACGTTTTGAAAGAAAGTGACTACATTAGTGTGTGTGTAGTGTTATCTGAGCAGACCTTCGGAGGTTTCGTGAAGATGTTAGACACATTTTCACTTGCCTCTGAATTGCAGTGGGTCTCAGGCATAAAGTAGCTGTCCAGTTGTGCAGCCAGGGATATTTTTAAAGTCCCTATACTAGTCCAAAACAGATGTGCCATTTTAAGTGTTTCCAGGGGAAGTAGCACTATGCATAGGTATTGCACGTAGTTCCGTCAGTACCAAAATCTAATTTGCAGTTAGAGTTTATTCTGATATTATCCACATATATTATTATCCTCACTTCCAGTGGTTTCTGTGTATTTTTGTTAATATGAGCAGTGGAAGATCAGATCATTAGTAAAGCAAACACTACTTTGATATTCTTGCAGTCATTTTGTAAACATGTAAATTAAGGTATACATGATTTCCTCATATGAAGGTACTTTAATTGACTGTAAAATATGACAAGCAGGACAGATGAATTCTTGTCCTTGTGGTGGTATGTGAGAAAGAGGCCGAGTAATACACATTAAATGAAGGACACCATGACTGCATACTGCAAAGATTTGTGTGTTTTAAATTCTTGCTTAGAAAGGTAGAAACTAATAGATCTTTCCATATGAAAATTCGTAGCTTTTTAGTTTTGTACAGTCTCTGTGGTTCTCTCTCTAGACAATATTGGGTTTATTTTACACAGCTGAAAATGCATGAATCAAAATGATATGCAAAATGATACAGCTCAGATTTTTCTCTCTTCTACTGGCTTGTTTCCAACCATATGCTGTTACTGCCTCATTTTCTCTTACAGTTTTTATAATGCAGTTGGAAGAAAATGGATTCTGCTGGTGAGCAAAACTAGTATGTGATCTTGCTTAGAAGGACTGGTAGAAGCTTGATAATTGTTGAAAGGCTGAAGAAACTGAATTTTCATCTGGCTGTACTCCACATAGCCAAAATTTTAACTTCCAAATTGGAACAGGATTAACTGTGTTTTCTAGTGCTGTATTCATCAGACACTTAACTATTTAGAGATTACCTTGCTAGGTCTATGTACCTGTCAGTGATGACAGTTGGAGAATTTTTGTTTTAACTTACTGATGGAGATGTGCTTCCCAGTTCCTATGGTATAACAGAGCTTTAACCTTTGTTTTCAGTTTTATTCTAAAAATAGCGGTCATTTTCTGATCTGCAAATTCGAAGAAGTTAATGTTGAGATAAAAATTTGACACATATAGGACTGGTATAGGCATCCTGATTTCCAGAGGTTTAGAAGGCTCGACAGCTGTCAGATACTTAATGTTCTGTGGAGCTAAGAAGCTTGTCTTAAAATTACTTACATTGTTTTTGTGAACTCCTAATTATTATAAACTTGCTAAACTGTAAAACTTTGTGCATTGAACATGTGTTATCCATCTGAAGCTACATTTTTACTTTTATGCTCCTTCTTTAATTCTAGATGATTTCAAATATGCTATATAAACGGTAATTGAAAAATTTAAGAAATTAAAACTGCTTATCAGAGATTTTGTTATTAAAAATCTTTACAAAGGACAGAACTGGTAGTAGTTTTTTGCTGTTTTGTTTTATGTAGAATTAAGGTAACATGCCAAGTAATTTGCTGAAGCTGTTTGGTTTTGTTTTGGTTTTTTTTTTTCCTGTAAAACTTCAAGGTAGAAGGAGTAGCATACCTAAGTTCTTTCCTGTGGAAATCACAAAGTTTGGGACTTTGGAACAGACCTCGAGGTGAGAACCTGCTGGACGGTGGTGCACCTTTTTGTGAAACCTACAAGACCTCTGATGGAAAATTCATGGCTGTTGGTGCCCTTGAGCCTCAATTCTATGAACAGTTCATAAAGGGTAAGTAGCTTGGAGCAGTTGTTTCACATCAGCAAAGCATGACTGAATGAACTCTTCAAGTACTTGGTTTTGATTCATGACATTGGCTATGTTAATTTCTTTGCAAAAGCCAAACACTTCTTGAAAATAATTGTCTAGTAGTGTAGCAGTTTAGTTGACTTTCTTCTTCTAGCAATTGAATTCTTTCTTTTTCATCCCTTCGTCACTTTACCCTCAGAAAATACCCTTAAATTACAGGTTTTCTTCTGGAGTTATGGTAATAGTAGTCTGTGATATGGCTGGAGCACTAAACAACTACTTTTGGAAACCGCTTTTTTTCAAGGGATTGTGAACATACTTTAAAAAGAAGAACTAATTCTTTGGTGTTGCAAAGAAAATTTCAAGCAATTTCAGTTATTTGTGCTATATTTTTTTAAAAAATGTTTCTTGATAGAATGGAATTTTTCTAGAAGCAAAGTCAGCTTTATAAATTAATTTCCACCACACAATTTCAGCTTTTAGTGGCAAGCTATGGATGTAATTTTTGTATTTGACTGAAGACTCTTTAAATATCACTGTTAAATATGATTTACCTATTTGAGAAATTAGAATGGGTCATGCAAAATAATTTTATGAAGTTAAACCAGAAGTTTGCAGGTGCCTCTCTACCTTTAATCTGTGTGCTTCAGGCTTTTGATTAGATGTGCTTTTAGCTTCTTACTGGTTATTTTAAAATAATTTATTCTGTTGTGCTCCTTTGGTAGATTATTATGCTTTTCATACAGAATTTATGAAAATATAAAAAAATTCATAAAAGAATTTGGTATTTATTCTCTTTCCGTTATTCCAAATATGAAGCATATAAAAAATTTTCAGTTTAATTTTAGTTTTGCTCAATGAGCAGAAGGAGTACCAAGGAAGGGTGTACATGAGGTGGATGTACCCAGTATTATATGAACCACTTTTGTATGTGCATTACTTACATGAAGTAAATCTTTGCCAAGTGAGGATGGTAGTGTTGTAGCTCCATACTCTTGATCAGTCTCTCCCCACTGATTATTCTTTGAGTGTATCATCGATACATGTACAGGTTTTGGCTGGGATAGAGTTAAATTTCTTCATAGCAGCTTGTATGGGGCTGTGTTTTGGGTTTGTGCTGAAAATAGTGTTGATAGCACACTGATCTTTAGGTATTGCTGAGCAAAGCTTACACATCATTACTTTTGTGCTCCTCACACTGCCCTGACAGTGACTAGGCTGGGGGTGCACAGGAATCTGGGAAGGGGACACAGCCAGAACAGCTGACCCCAACTGGCTGAAAGGATACTCCATACCATATGATGTCATGCTCAGCAATAAATGGGGGTGGGGGGGAGGCTGACAGGGGGACCACTGCTTGAAGACTGGCTGGGCATCGGTCGGTTGATGGTGAGCAGTTGTTTTCATTTGCATCACTTGTCTTTCTTGAGTTTTATTTTCCTCTCTCTTTGTTATTACTTTTTTCCTTCTTTACCTTACAGTTTTAAAAATTATTATTATTGTTTGTAATATTAAACTGTTTTTATCTCAAACCATGAGTTTGTTCCTCACTTTTACCCTTCCAGTTCTCCCCCCCATCCCACAGCGGGAAGAGGAGTGAGTAAGCAGCTGTGTGATGCTTAGTTGTTGGCTGGAGTTAAACCATGATGATTCTTATCACAGCCAATTACTGCCAGCTGAGTCCCAATCATCTATGTTGTGCAAACAAGAGCATAGTCAGTGCCAGGGCCTGCACTTCCAGGAATGTTTGAAATTCAGAAGCATGGTAAAATGAAATTAAGGTATAGGGTTGTAAGGTGGGGTATGCCTATGAGCAGGATTCCAAAGAGAAATCTTTTTCTATACACTTCAGCTTTGTTCTTTTGCAGCCTGTGGTGCTCCTAAAGTTCTTGCACATCTGTGGGTGTAAATGGCTGCTTCTCTATGTAGTTTAAAAAGGGCTGTGCAGTTGTGTAGAATAGCCATATTGGTACATGCTGATACATGAAACATGTCAGACAGGCTCCTGGAGACTCTCAGGAACATGTCTAGCATTATGTGCTGTCCTGAGATTAGATGTCAGGTTTGGAAGAGCCATTTTGGAAGAGTCAAGTTTTGGCTGAAGAGGCTGGTACTTTGTCCCTCATTGTTCTGACAATAACTTGTTTGCGAACTCCAGGTCTAAGCTACACAGTTGTGAAAAAGAAAGCATAGTCGATTATTCCATACTTTGCATTTCTTTGAAATGTTATTCTCATCCAATCCCTTAAGAATTTTTGCTTGCAAGAAATGGAGTTGGAGAGCAAAAATAAATATAAAACTGAATCAAAGTAAAATGTAAGCCCTTTCTCTGGAAGTTTGGGAATTTTGAATTCCAATACATGTCTTCAGGGAGAATGCCTGTATTAAATAAAAAGGAAACAAGAAAAGGATAAAGCTGCCTACTCAAATACCCATATGTTTGCCTTAAAGTGATCAAACACTGGCCTGCAGTATTCATGGCTGCAGTATTTTATTCTTCTCCAGAGGTAAGTTGAATAGTGCTTATTTTTAAGCTATAGGAGTGGGATGGCATCTGTATTTGTTCAAAAAGAAAACAAGTTCTGCAGTTAATAGAATCTGGTCTTGTTTGTCACTACTCTTCTCTCAACCAACCAGCCAGCTTATCTAGAATGAATCCAGAGGTCAGGCAATATGACATGATCACTGGCTGGTCTCTGTCTTATTTAGGTAACTCTTTACTGAGGAAAATGCTAAAATTCTGTTTTCCTCTTAGTTGTTTCTCAGAAATTTAGAACATAAAGTTGGAACAACAGCTATGAATTTACCTATCTATATTGGAGCACCCACATTGGAAAACTTTATTTTCATGTTTGAAGGTATTCCTTATGGTTACAATGCACAGAAATGGCTGTTAAAATTGCAGCTGAAGTTTAAAAAACAGTTATTCCACCAGTAAAGAACTGGTGTATCCGTCTGTAAATAGACAACAACTGCATTCACAGCTGTGCTTGTGTTTCAGTCTGTTTCTGTCATATTTAAAAAATCCAATGTACAGACTACAGTCTTCTAAAGAAATTTTGCTTTTTGCCTTTAATTGTATCACAATCTTTGCTTGTTTATAGTCAATAATTTTTCTTTATTTTGTAAAAGTGTGTGGTTTAAAGTATTAGATGGAACTGAAGATTTTTTTCATGATATTGCATCTAAAATAAGTGGTCTTTCTTAATTGCATTTTAGGTGCAAATTATGAATTGCTCAGATTTTCACATAAGAAATACTTATCCCCTTCAGTAGTTAGGTTTCAAGCTTTCTGAAGCAATAGTGTACTAAATTAGAACAGCAGATCCTTCTTGTGTCTTAGGGATTTTTTCCTTTCTGGGATATCTGTTTCAGAAATCTAGTTCATAATTTAAGCCTTTAAATGTTACAGGGAAGAAGCAGCTGCTTGTGAGATTTGTATTGCTTTTTCACAGACCTGAGGAGCTTTGATTTAGGCTGAGTCGTCTGTTCCAGGCATTAATTCCCTGCTTTGAAGTAGTTTTAAAATTATATGTTCCAGTTACAATTTCCGTAATTTTATTTCCTATTTTTTTCACATAATTCTGGTCAGTTCTGCTGGTGAAATATTTGGTGCTGTTCCATATGAAATATATTCAAGTCACTTTATGTCTCTCTGTCCATATTTAGAGAATGAGTTCCTTTTGCCACTCTATAACGAGAACACAAGGGTACAGTTGTTGCAGATGTAAGAGATGGAGATTTAAAGATTGCAGAATTGAGAAAGGGACATGATTTCCGAACCATTTGTCACTGGTCACAGAATTCTGGTTAGCTGAAGAGAAACTTAATTTCTTTTGGTTTGGTTCACTTTAGTGTTTCCCTGCAGAATTAAGAACCCACTACTGGACCAGAGTGCAGTTAATGACATTGTGAGGAAGGTCTGCAGAGGGAAACTAAGTAAGTTTAAGAAAATACAGCATCTTAGTTTGAGAAGATGGTTGGCTTTGTAGATTGTGCTCAGCGGGGAAAATAAAATTTCTGCTTACTACAAATTATGAATTTTTAAGGTCATACGAGAAACTGAAGCTGTATAAAATAGGTATGGTAAATAATTGCTGTAGTACCTGTAGTATAAGGAGTTGTATTTGGGGCTCACTATAGACTATTTACTGTTAACAAACATGCTGTAATCCTCTTGCTTATATACAAAAGTCAGCCAATAAATAACTAAAATGCCTTTGCATCTTACGAAAAATCTGATGTAAGAAACATGTGCTTCTAATGTTAAGTCTCAGTCTTTTAGCAGAAGGAGACAGAGTGTCTTCCAACTGACCTGCAATTTGCTTCTGCAGGTTTCTCTTGATTTTTAGCAATATATACTTAGTATTGTTGTAGCCAGGCTACAAGAGGCGTGCAGAACACGGTAAATTTTGATTGATTCTGTGTTACCATTAAACTCAGTTACATAAGGTGAACTTAGTATAACCTTACATTGATGTAGAAAGCACTAACAGTCACTAAAGTTCTGAACATCTATTTCATAGTACTCCTTTCATATTACTTTGATACTCCTGCATTGTGTGGCTTCTGTTTAAAAAGAAGGGAAAAAATGAGGAAGCTCTTGAAAAATATAGTTTAATCATTATGAAGAATTTCTACACGGCTCTCAGTTTTGTGATTGTAGAGTATTGTGTACTGTATTAAAAATCTGTTAATGTACTGAATTCAATACTGGGTTGTTACTGAGACATGTAAAGTGCACAGTTTCCTCATCACATTTTAGACACCCTCTGTTACACATAATGTTAAGTTTTCCTTGAATTTACTAATTGTGAAAAGCCTTAAACACTGTACAAGTATTGTAGAATGTAAGGTTCTTGCTGCACCAAAACATCTGCAATTGTGGTAATTAAATATGTAAACTTGGTGTACCGCTATGGATGCATTTGCAGCGATGGTCTTGTAGTACTCTGAGCCTGGTCAACCCTTTGCTGAACTGTCACTTTCTAAAAAATGATTTTGTTCTGGAAACTTTGAGCAGAGATTTTGAATATTTACTTTAATGAAAATTCACTGCTATCTTGGAATATTCTAAAGTTCAATTCCCTCTCAGAGCGTGACTGAATTCTATTGAGAGAGAGCAATGACATATACCTCATGGATGTGGTTTGGGCCAAAATTAAGGATTCCCATACTAGATGGTTGTGTTCTGTCATGTTGTGGCAACGTAATTTCAAAATTACTGTGCTATCAACATGTAATTTTGAAAAGAAAAATCAGAAAATTAAAGCAAGCAAGTCCTGAACAAAGCTCTGCTAGGGATCCCAAATGATCTTTTAAAATCATATGGCCGAAATACTGTTTATTTCCAACATACCAGAGCAGCTTCACTCATTTATGTAATGAATTTTACTGTTTTCTCTCTTGAAATATGTGCCTAATTTTACTGCAGTTTGTCTAAGAAGTTCTGTAGAAATAGACATTTCAATTTGTTGGGTTAATAAATGACATGCAGATTTATGTCAAAAAAGCTATAGCATTTAAAGGAGACAAAGCTATATGATTATGAGGAGACATAGTTTTAATTTTTCAAAAATTTCAGAGTTGTGCTAGAGTAGGTTACTGGGCTTTTCTAAACAAAAATCTTTAGATGAAAATTTGAACAAAAAAACTTGGAAACAGGTTGTGATTTCTTTACCAGATATTCTGTATAAAAGATACTTTTCTTCTGATTATGTTGGGTGAAACCTATCATCCTGTGGTATCCTAAATTCTGTGCTGTGTAAGTGTTTCCTTGTTGACTCAGTCACTCCTGCTGTGCACCACAAACAGTTAGCACAGGCTGGAAAATGAGAAGCTATAGTGCTTAAATGCTGTCGGTTCATGCTATTTAAAGTTGAAGTCTTCAGTGGTCAGTGGAAAATGAGCATGTAACATTAAATTCCAGGTTCTGCATATTGTTCTGTTTTGCTAGAGCATGTATGGTTAGGTTCAGCCAACTTTCCATCTGGCATGATCTTCAAATATAATTGTGTAATGGGACAATAATGGTAGAGCTCAGTTCATGTTGAACTGGCTACTGGAACGCAAACCATAATTAATAAGCAAATAAATACTTATGAAGCAATGTTTCCAATTGACGAGATTTCATGCATTGAGATGGAACCTCAGAGAGTGTGTTGCTACTTAGCTTTACTTACTGTGGAAGGTAAATTTGACTAACCTCCTAGTTCTTAAGTAAACTATATAGCATTGTTCATCTTTTAATATTGTACTTTGAACATTAATAATCAAATTAATTTTTAAAGCATTGTTAGCTTCTATTTAATTTGAATGCACAACCGGTATGAGTAATCTTCAGCTGATCATTTTTTAGGATGATATAAATGGTTATGAACACTGGGTTGTAAGTTTAGCGATTTAGTATGTTTAGTGCATGTGACCTGTAACTCAATAAGGATTGATGCTTACCTTGTACAGTCCTTATACTGACATTTGTAGGAGTCTCTCATAAGGTATGACAATGCTTATTCTGACTGTGTTGATTTTTCTTCTGAACATCAACAACTGCACTATGATATTTCTGAGTCTGGAGACTGGCAATTTCTCTGTGTTTTCCTGTGCAGTACTAAAGAAAGATTTCAAAGCATGTATTTGTTTTCAAAGCTACTATTTAAGGATTTTTGATAGTGAAATTCTTAAATGTTATGATAACTTGGGGGAGACTATGAGCCCCAAGAAGTGCGTGTATAATAGTAAAGTCTATGAACAGAAAGAAAGAACTTAAAGAGCAGAAGAATGGACATTATCTCAATTTCTTCTCTCCTTTATGTTTCAATAGCTATGTCTTTTCTTAGGGATAAGGAAGCTGTAGAAATAGAAGATACAGAAAGTTTTTTCTGCCTGTCTACACCTAAAGATTAAGAGGAGTTCTGTGTTAATTTTACTTGTAAACAGGCATCTAGTAGCCAAGCCTGTTAACAGTTGCAAGTCAAATCATCAGTCTGATACCAGATATCCAAAGATAAAAGGGAGAATGCTCAAAGTTTCAATTTTTGCAGAACTCCACATTTTCTCTGCCTTTTATGCAGAGCTCTTAGCAGCTCCCTTTTTTTGTTGTTTGTGAAGCATTATGATAGTTGCTCTCTAGCCTTTCTAATTTCTCACATTAACTTCTTTTTTATCTCTGCTTTTTCTGAATTTTTACTGCTGTATTCATGCTTCTGAATTTCAAGATGTGGCTGTTTGGACAGCCTTCAGTATACCACTTCTGTTTCATATTTTTACCTCTGTTTGTATTATCTTCATTCTGCAAGTGGGGTTTAATTGCCTTTTCTCTTTCTTATTTCTTACCTCCTTTTTGAGATAAACCCTACAAGAAATTATAACAATTCTTGTATCTCCTTGAAGTAGAAGAAAGGAACGGTAGGGAGTGTAGAGAGCAGAATCCTTGAGAACAGAAACAGAGATGGGAAACTGTCTGCACAGGAGAGATGTAAACTCCCCAGTGAGAAGGAAGGTGGTGCTTAGTTAAGACCTAGGGCTTGCCTAGTTCAGGGAATTTTCAGTACAAAGCTTGTGTGTCCATCTTCTGCTCTTGTGTTTTAGAAGGGATGTGTGTATTGCATACCTGTGTGGGCCATGCGACTGATCTTCTGGGAACAGTTCTTCAGCAGTTAGTGAGTGTAACTCACTATGGGTTTAGGTTTTCCAAAAGCTATGAGCTAGCTATGGGCTTCCCTTTTCTAAAAGAGCAGCAGTGGAGAGTTGGAATCTGGGAAGTGTGCTGAAGAAGGGAGGGCAGCAAACACTGCTGGAGTCCTTTTGGAGGGAGGGAGTTGAGAAGCAAGTTAGCCTGCAGACACCCGCAGCTGAGCTACCTCATGTACATCAAGCCTGGGTATATCCATCCACACCATCTTCTCATCACTGGCGTAGAAATAACCCGATCATGTTGGACTTCAGACACTAGCCTGCTGAATGTCCAGCTCCAGCAGATTAACTGGCTTCTGTAAGTATGTTGCTGTAGTCCAAGATCCATTCAGCAGACTTTTGTGTTGCTACTGCCAGGTAGAGAATACAATACCTGTTATAGAAAGATGTTCTCAGGACAAAATGCTGTCCTTAGGCAGCTGCTGCTCTTACGTTTATACAAATAAGTGTTTGTTGTACGTACTTAGTTAAAAGGCTGTAGCTGTTGTGGTTCAGTCAAGTAATAAAACATTTTATTCTTCTGCTCCCTCCTCATAGATAACCTAATAAAGTTTGAAGCGACTTTCAGTTAGTGTGCTCTGCTGTGTTGAACTGCCTACAAAATACTAGCTTCTTGAGGAACATACTTAGTTGTGGGCAGCACTTGGAAATGTATCTAAGCTATACTATAGTTAATCTCTGCTTTTCTCCTTTCAGGTCTTGGGCTAGATTCAGATAAGCTTCCCAGTCAGATGAGTTTCTCTGAGTGGTCAGAAATGAAGAAAAAATTTGCATCCACGTTTGCACAGAAGACACAAGCTGAGTGGTGCAGCATATTTGATGGTACTGATGCCTGTGTGACCCCTGTTTTATCCTTTGATGAAGTTGCCTCACATCAGCATAACAAACAAAGAAATTCTTTTATCAAAAATGATCAGGAAGAGATAAGTCCTAGACCTGCTCCTCTTCTATCAAGGACTCCTGCTGTTCCATCATTTAAAAGAGATCCTTTTATAGGAGAACATACAGAAGAGATACTTCTAGAATATGGATTTACTAAGCAAGAGATTGCTAAACTTTATTCTGATAAAATAATAGAAACCAGTAAACCAAAAGCTAATTTATAATCTCTAACTATGCAGATCAGACATATTTCAGGCTGATAAATTTTTATGCATTAAAATTTAATTATATGACAAATGTTTGCTTGATACTGCTTTCAGATAATTTTTGTAAGTTATTGAAGTTTTAAACTTAAATGAAAACAGTGGAAATTATGTACTTGTGTACCTGGATGACCTGCAGTCTAGAATGATACCAAGATTGTGTTCTGAAGATGTACACAGTTTGCTTAGTAAGCAGCTGTAAATCTTCAAAATGTTTCTTTAAATATCATATCCTCTGAAATGTTTGTTTCTTTTGATTCTTAATTACATCATGGCTTTGTAATAGATGTTGTAATTACATGAAGGCAATACTTTTCATAAAATACAGTTATATCGAAGGGATTTTTTTCTCTATCCTACCATATTAATTCATTTGCCTTATGCCAAAATAATGATCGAAATAATGCTGTTTTCTTATGTGCTGCTGCAGAGTTATTATCATAAAGTAATTCTATTTAATAGCCTGACTACATTTTCTTAATTGCAGTCTCCTGATTATATTACATTTGGAATTTCAGTTTGCCTAGAAAATCACTTCAGAATAAAATTTCTTATTTTAAAATAGCTGCCAAGTATTAATCCTTTCCCCTCTTTTTGGAAAAATGGTAGGCAGCTTAGCTGCACAGGTTTTAAACAATGGTTATGCCATGGTGGTTTTCATTTCCTTCAAAATTAAATTAAACCATCATTTGAAACAGTCTCCTTCAAGGCAAAAGAAAATATGCTTTTAAAAATAATTAGTTATATGGCCTTAACACAGCTTTCTATAGTCTGACATGTCAGGAATTATGATATGAGGAGGTGGGTTTTTTGATAATTTTGTTAGTTTACGTTGCTGAAGATTAGTTTGTTGCTTACAAAGACTTCCAAAGCTGAGATATACTTTGGCTCATTTTACACATATCATGCCCAGAATGTCATCATTATTAGTATAAAAAAATCTTTTACACTCTACCACATAAACATCTGCCTGGAAGCAAGAATTATCTGGTAGGTCCTGACCAATTAGATTAACAGTCAACAGTTATCTTAAATTTCCAGCTAATAATCACTCTAATGTAAATTACTGAATACTATGCACCTTTACAGTAAGATTTGACAATTTGCTTATTCCCAGATGTATCTGATTGTGTTGGTGAGCAATAGACATTGTCAAATGTAATCTCCAGTGCACCATTGACTACAAAATTGGTGAAGTCAACTTAAAAACTCATGTTAACTTCAGCACGGGTTGGATCAGCTACCTCACTCTGGTGGCTAACCTGAAAGGTGCAGTTATGCCGTGTCACTACAGATTTCTTTTAAGGCCTTCTCTTGGCAGGTAAAACTGTCTAAAGAGACCCACAGTGATTCTGATATCCTTTGTTTTTCAGAAACTAAGAAAATAATTGGTTGCATTGAGGGGGGCATGCAGCAGATACAAAAAAATACTCAGGAGTTGCTGTTTGACAGACATCTGTCAAGATTTTTATCTCCCACTAACACTCTAGGGCAATAGGTGGGTTCACTTATCTTCATGAAATGCACTGAGATCCTTTTCTGGGTACATATTACAGATTTTTTTCCCTGTTTGATCAAGAGGAAAGATGAGGGCTCTAGATTCTTGGTATCACTGCTATCTTACAGCAGCAAGAGGAACAGCTTTGTCTCCAGCTAAATCCTGTGCCTTGCTCATGTGATGTATGTTCCTGTTATATTTGTGTTTCATGCCTAGACAGTTCTTTAATTGTGGCTAGTTGGAAGCTTTGCAGACACCCAAGAGCTCAGATCTGCTAATGTTAACACACGCTTCCCCGCCCCCTTCCTTGCATAACTTGTGATCGCAGAGCCATGAAAATATGTGAGTCCCTCCCCCAGCACAGACCAATCCCACCTGGCATATGACCTGGGCTCCATGTCAGCCAGGGCGGGCAGCGCTGACTTGCCGGAGTGCTGCGCGTAGCCAGAGCGATGACCTTAATGAAAGAGAGTTTCCACAGGGCTCTTCCACCCCCTTCTGAGGTGGCCAAGGCCGACATGGACAGCACCAGAGAGAAGGAGGAGGCTGGGCTGCAATCTGTGTCGAGGACTGGAGCAGTGGTGCCAAGGAAGCGAGCGGTGGGAAGGCTGGTTATGCACAGCATGGCGATGTTTGGCCGGGAGTTCTGCTATGCCGTGGAGGCCGCCTTTGTCACGCCGGTGCTGCTCAGTGTAGGGCTGCCCAAGAACCTCTACAGCCTGGTCTGGCTCATCAGCCCTGTCCTGGGCTTCGTGCTGCAGCCCGTGGTAGGTTCAGCCAGTGATAACTGCACCTGTAGCTGGGGCAGGAGGCGGCCTTACATTCTGGGTCTGGGCATCATAATGCTGTTAGGCATGGCTTTGTACCTCAATGGGGACGTGATGATCTCAGGTGAGTGAGGGGCATGTGCTGTGCTGACAGACAAAACGTGTCCTAGCCTTTTGAATTGTAAAGAAAAGAGGGTTTCCTTTTCTCCCTGCTAAAAGGGGCTGTTAAAATTGGGTGTCATGTTACTCGTCTGCATTGAAGGAGTTGAGGAACACTGAAATTTTCATACATGTTCAATCCTAACGCTGCATGTTATGTACCCTGTACATAGTGCTCTGTGGTTTCTGCGTGTGATTACAGTGTGTTGTATGTTGGTGTGGTTGCCTGGTCAGTTCATACAAGTAAGGCCCAGAGTTTTTACAAACTGAAATCTACCTTGTTAAGTTAAATGAACAATATTGTTTGTGTGATGTATAACATACTCAAACTGAGTATCTGTTAATCCCTATTGTAGATGGATTAGCATTCAAAATACATGTCTTTATTGCAGCACTGGCTTGTCTCAGGACTGGGTTATGCTGGTGAATAATAGAAATCTGCAACTCACTGGAAATCGTGTTGTACCTGGAATGTGCAAAATCAAATAGGAGTGACATCCTTAGACACTGCAGTATTTCAATTTGAGATGTAACTTCTCAAAGTCTTGAGGGAAAGCTGTTGCTGTCATTATGACTTGGCAAAGGGGGGTGTGTGTGTTTTCATGGGTTGATCTATTTTCTCTTCCTGGATATCATTGGTGTTGAATACACTTGTATTGATGTGCCCCAAAAGAGGTGTTACAGTCATCTCTTGATTATCTAAAACAATGGAAGGGTGGGACAAATGGAATAAAACAAAAAAGTACTATGAAATGCATGTGTTAGGCTGCCATGAAGGTGCAAGGGAGTAGATTAAAGCTAGTGACTGACGCTCGATTGTGGAGCTGGAAGTACCCCGAGCTTGTGCTGACTCAAGGCAGCAAGTCAGCCTAGCACAGCTCAGTGCTACACAGACTCAGTTACCCTGCTTCTCTGATGTGATTCTGGTATCACTGCTCTCTCTTACATAAGTAAGCATAGTTTAGATTTGGATCAGGAAAGATAAAATATGATTTTGCAGAACATGGCACTGTTGCTGTCAGAATGAGGGTGTTTTTCTTTTTGTAGCTTTCATCGGTGAAAGAGACAAGCAGCGGACGTGGGCAATAGTCATTACCATGATGGGAGTAGTACTTTTTGATTTTGCAGCTGATTTTATTGATGGCCCCATCAAAGCATATTTATTTGATGTCTGCTCTCATCAGGATAAAGAGAAAGGTCTGCATTACCACGCCCTCTTTACAGGTACCCAGATCCCTTCTTTTCCTCCCTACCTCTTGAAGGGGGGGGGAAGTAATTGCATGGATTTTATCCTCACTGTGTTTCTAATCTTGAATGAACTGATCATCTGATCCCGCGCTTCAGTCACGAGTCTTTTGTTGCTGGGTTTTCACTACTCCAGAGAACTGCAACTTGTGGCTGCTGCTACAAGAATTCTGCTGCAGAAGGCTGCAGAGATAAACGTTTACACCAACATAGCCATAATTTAAATAAGAACAATTAATTATTTAAAACAGTGAAGTAGTGTTTATTCAGCTTGTTCTGATTTTTTTCAAGTTTTTTGTGAAGCAAAAATTAAGGGATATAACTTGTTTCCTTGATATAGCACACAGAAATAACAGTTTTGATTTGGCATGTGACATCAGTCAAGAGCTGCACAGACTAGAACAGTTGATTTCTATTCTTCAGCAGTGCTCCAGTGTGTGCTGCCTTCCTTACACAGCAGTTCTGTGTAAAATTCAGAACTTTTCAACTTCCACAAAAAAAGTCCAAGTGGTTCAGTCCAGACTTGCAAATGACGTAAGAGCTTCATTTGCCTTTATATGTTTGAAATGTTGCTGAGATACAGAAGGAAACCTTCTGTGGTACATGAGTGCTGTGTTAAGAAAATGCACAGGGAAGACACACAGGGCTGTGTACCTGTAATGTGCATCTGGAGAATCTTCCAGCCATGTCTGAGAGCAGTCACTGTGAAAGGACTAGACAAAAAGCAGACTAGATCAGAAGTCACGCAATCTGTGTTGATGCAGATTTTTGTGGGTACCGAGCTGTACCAAGAGCAGAGGCATGTAGATTCAGTGGCAGTTACTCTAGCCAAGGAAGGTGTACTAGTTATTGACAACAGGCTGATTTTGGACATACGAAAAAGATTATAAGGGAATCTTAAAGCCATGTGGGAATGAAATCAGTGTAATACATTATAAACTGAGAGAGAAAAATTTTAACAATCAGTTGTTTGGTCAGAGAGGGGAGTGAGTCTCTATGTGTATTCTTGCCTTTAGAAGAACTGTGGTTGCAATTTTTCTTTGAATGGTACTAAAAAGGTTTGATTTCCAAATTTGGAGCTACCGATATAGCTGATTCATTTGTGTACTGAGCTGTGGAAAGGGATGTGGGTCGAAGCACATCAAATAGCATCAAAGCACATTGCATTATTTGGTCCAGCACTCTGTGCCCTCTATAGCAAATTCACAGGGATCTTAACTCTTCCTGATCAGTAATTACCTAGCCCATTCTTGAAATCCTCCCTTGGCAGGAGTTCTGCAGCCCTCCCAGGACAGTCTGTTCCAGCACTTCACTGGCCTTGTTGTTTGACAGTTTTCCCTAAAATCTAATCTTAATATCCATTCCCTGCAATTTACCTTTATCGTTCCTTGTTCTATCCCTATTAGACATGGACAGCAATCTTCCCATTTCTTTTCTGGCTTACGTTTTAGATATTCCCCCCCCCTTTTTATACTAAATATCCAAGATTTTTCTCTCCAGTTTAAAGTTCTCCAGTTTAAAGTGTGAACATGAAACTCAATAGCTTTGAAGTTACAAAATTTACAAGCACTGAGACAAGTGGAAGAGTGCACACATCCAACATGCAACACTCCAACTGTATTCCAATATCATAATTGCTTTTTGCCAAAACAGTACGCAAAGATGACCTTAAACATCAAACATTCATTCTGTTCATTCTGTGCAAACATTTAATGTAGGTTTTATTCAAAAAGTTATTAACAGTTTGTTTTTTGTGCGAAAAAGCAAGGATACAGTCCCCTGTAAAATGCAGTAGGACACAATGAAGAAGGGCCATAGTCAGACCCAAGAGGGAAAGAAAGTACAGGAAGCCCAGAATGAAATAAAAATCCCAGGTTTTGTAGGTGA